GGAAAAGCGGAGGTTTAGCCGGGGTGCGCCGGGGTGCGCCGGTTCGCCAGTTCGCCGGTAGACAAGGTGCACGGATCGACCCCCGGCAGGGGCTTACGAACGTAATTCTCGGAACGGCACGACTTGGCGACACGTCACGAGTCTCCGTAGGTCGTCGCGGAGGACGGCATTGCGTACCGTGGGGTAGCTCAGCTGCTTTACACCCTGGGCACGGGGAGTTAGGGTCGCAGACCCCCTTACAGCTGCTGTATCGCACACCTTCGTACTTTTACTCCCTGACATATGCCCAATTTATTAGGTATGCAATCACCTTGATGGCCCGTTGGCCACTCCTTTTGAATTGGGCCGTGAAACCGAGTCTTTTTCAAATCCGGATTCAACGTTCGATGCAACTATTACGGTAACTATAAGGAATAAATATGATTTGCAATAGCACGAAACCATACGTAGCAGTTCTCTACCGCAAATTACAACGTAAAGAGGTTTGTTGGCCGGAATCTTTTTTTTTTTTATCATCGCCATTAAGGTTCATTTATACGCGTCCGATCCGTCATCGATCTGGCCCGGTTTTGTACGGGGATGAACGCGAATGCCCTCTGTAGGAATATGGCCCTGCCAATGTAAAAGACCGATGTATGCATGTAAAGGTTGACTCTGTACAAACCGGAGCCGGATCGGAGACGGATCGAAATAAACGGACCCTTAATCGAGAATCGACCAATGCGTGAACAGATGAATGGTTTGAGATCAAATGAAACATAGAATGACGAATCCACGTCATATCGATGTAATTTGGAGCACGATATTGACCCATCTTTGTGACATTTGGCTGCCGCGACGTCTTTCCTCATTTACTCCTACCAGTAAAAAACCGATATCGTTGTCGGTAGGAAGTGTGGTGGCATTTTTTGTTTTTACGAGATAAAACGTCAAATATATCGAAAGTTTCAGATTTGTGGAAAAATGTCATTATTTTTAATCACGGCAGAGTGCTCGGCACGTACACCCTCGCATCTACCCCGTTGCCTTGAGACTCCCTATACCTGTTACATTGGTTATCGCTATTGTACTATAATGTTACAAAAACCCAGATCGTCAAATATCTAAACTATATTTTTTAGTGTTTCCAAATCAAATTCATTGTAATGTTTACACGAACATGCCGTTGTATCCGGACATACTCACTTCACAATATATTTATTTCAACATTGTTATTTATTTACAATACTACACATTATTTGTTGTATTTTTAATAATATTATGATAATTATTACGTACATTTTATTGAAACTTGAATAAACTGAAACATATTTTTAGGTGCCCCTACCTGCAACAACTGTTCTTTTGCTGTAAAATTACAGTAAAGTTGATTGCAACTATTGAGTTGGCATTGCAGAGTCTACATTGTTACTCTACTTTTTTATTAAAACAATATTTTTAGGTATTCCAAACGATATTTAACCTATGAAAATTGGAATAAGTTTTATGGTGAAATCGCATTTTACCCAATTTATTGAGTAACAATAACTAGGTATTTCTCTGATTGTGAGTGTAGTACGTGATTATGTAGATCTTACGAAGGTCCCGAAACTCACAAAATTTCAATTAAAAAAAAATAATTGTTTATCCCAATCTAATACCAAGACGGTTTCGTCAACACGTATCTTTATATTTTACGCATTTCAAAAGTTTAGAATCGAAAACGAACATTTTCAGGACGTAGGCGTGACAATGTTGAATGCGACAGTTATCAAATATTAAAGATTCCTGTGGGAAATATCGAGAAAAGTATTATAAATGTGTGTAGTGAAATTCTCGGATGTCTCGTGAGCAACACATGCTCCGTAACTGCTCTTAGAGCAGAAATTTAGTCACCGCTTAATGTGACAGATGGCGCCATTGATCGATTAGTGTATAAAAATTCATAAATCCAAAGAATTTCTTGAGTTTAACTTCGATCTCTTTACAATCATGCTGCTGAAATGACATACGGAACACTTCATTACGTATAATTATTAACGCAGAGTGTAAGAAACGTCAACATAAATGTAAATGTCGGTAAAATGACGTGCAAGCTTATGTTACCATTCGACTATCCAAAATGGCGTTATCGCCGAAAAAGATAAAGATGAATTTTATTTATCGACGTCGATTAAACTCATCGGCATCTTTGATATCATCTTACTGCTGTGTGCATGTGAATGAAATCCAGATTCACGACAAGCTATAATAGATGTCTTTGATTCGTGTAATTTTATAAACTTATGAAAACGGTGCCCTTCGATATAAATGAACTAAGACAACATATTTTTACTTTTTTCCCAGAAATCTCACTTTTATCTATCTGGGTGAGAATTTTCGAACAACCAGCACATGAACGATGGCGCATTTCTGAGTGGCCTAGGGGAGATCGAACTCAAATGTAAGACAGGGCAACTATAACAAACGTTATCGATTTTTCCTTTAAACTTGGAAAAGCTTACCGACACAGTGGAAGCTTTCCATTGAACCACATATCCCGTATAGTAGTTTCATGTTTTTAGACTGTTACTGTTAGTCTTAGAGTGTTTGGTAGTTATATATATACCAAACACTTGCTTTATATATATAAAATTGTTACACATATGACAATAATAATCGTACAATTTGAATTAAATAGTCAAGCATTAGGACATTCTTCATTTTCCGACAACTTTCTTAATGCTTGACTATTTAATTAAAATTGTATGATTATTATTGTCATATGTGTAACAATTTGTCACGTTACCCTGGCGTTATATTAAATGTATTTCTAATATTGGCCATAAAACATACACTTCAGATTTCCACTGCTGGCTTCAAATGTGCACAGAGTTGTGGAACGCGTAATATGCAATCTCGTTAATAGTCAATGAGAATCTCTCATTGAACCAAATAGATGGATTCTTATTGATTATTAATGATGTTACGTATGTCACTTGCCCATTTCAATTCGGATATAATATACTTCACCCTCGCGTAGAAAACTATGGACGTATCACACGTAATGTACACGTAAAGAACTAGTTGAATTGCACCCAGTGCTTGTAATATCATATATTACCCGAGTAATATAACCCACTAATATCTATAATTATAAGCCGTCCGCGATGCGTCCTTTCGATCGGATTCATCCAGCAATTTGAACGCAGAGCTCATGTCGCGACCGTAATTGCTCGAACGACCGCAGCGCCGCCTAAGTGGAGAAACTTTAAATCACAGGACACGTGTTGCTTCGAGACGTATACACGGTACAACGGTTCGAACGGTTGCAAGATCGGCGGCTCTTAAAGCCGACATTTCGTTTCCTCGAGGTGCTAGTTGCTTCCCGAGAACGCCGCTTTGAACCCGGAATAATGGCGGTCGTTCTTATCGCCGCATAACTCGCGAGCATCTAGATGCACTTGAGAATGCATAATGCACCCGCGCTCGCAAATGACACAACGAAGCCAGGACGCGTGACACGCGTGACAAACGCCCCAGTCCTTCGGCGAAAGGTTGTCGTTCAATATGGCGACTTCCTTCGATAAACCGATGACGTCACGTCCGTTGGGAATATACGTAAGCGCGAAAGTACTTATAAAACTTTTCCCGCGAACTGGGTGCGCCTAATAAATCGAAACTTCACTATGTGATATGAAAGGGTCATTCTATACACGTTAAAACGTGAAAATATTAATAGAAAATTTTCTCCAAACTGGATGCACCGAGTCATTGGAAACTTTAGCACGTAATTACGGAGGGGTTAAAACTAGGGAAATTTAATATCTCGAAAAGAAGAAATGCGTTCGTTCCGAACAAGGGCCAAAAGAAACAAACATTCTTTTTTTTTTTCGAAAAATTAAATTCCCTGAGTTTCAAGAGCTTCGTTAGGGCCTCCACGATCACGTATTAAAGTTTCCGATTATTCGGTGCACTCAGTTTGGAGAAAACTTGTATTCATATATGAAGTGATCCTTTCATAACACCTTAAGGTGAAGTGAAACACCCTTCAAATCAGTCGATTCGAATACAACACTTTTTTTTAAGGGTATTAGACCAAACTGTCCGAAACTTTGACACATCACTCCTGATCATCTAAGAATTGTCCTGACACATTCAAAATTTGGATTTTTTAACAAAATTGTTTAACTCAGCCCAGACTCTAATGATAAAGTAATTGAAAATTATATTCTAACCAATTACACATTCGGTATGTAAATTATCATCAAATTCTTATCAGTTACTATTTAAACATATAATTGTGTATCTGCATCAAATCGAATACACACTAATAACGAATCAGGCAATCGGATTTCTTTCAATTACGTAATTCAAGCGCAATCTGCAATTAACCTTCCGTGATCATGAAATATGTTTATTGCTTTCGGTGACCACTGAGTTCATTTTGTCCAAAACCCCTTTTACTTGATTATAGGCTGTAAAAACATTTGAAACGCTCAGGGCTTCTTTTCAGAACCTTTCCTGCATTATCCTTTTAAAGTTAAAATAGCTTTTAAAGTTAAATATAAAGAATTTTTAATGATAATCAAAATGTTAAGAAAAAACACCTCAACCCAAAATTTCGCTTCGGCACAAAACGACCTAAGAGAGTATCGTTAAGTACGTAATTCGATTTCAAATGAAATTAATGCTGATCATCCTTGTTTTTGACTTAAAATGTCATTAATTTCTGCCAGTCTCGGGAATTACTATGAATTCTAGGAGATCCTGTACATTACATATAAAATTCCAAATACAATTTGAAATAAGGTTAATTTTCTGAATAAGCACCTAATCTGTTGATAAACGTCAGTCTTCTTGGGTGGCTCGCGGTTGCCTAGCGAGATTGCCTCTTCCATGCGCGGCCACGGAAGTACCCTCAGGTTTTAGGCGGGACCGTTCGCTGCCTCTGATTGGTCGACCCTTTCCCCCACCACCGCGCCTCTCGTGGTATAAGAAGGAGGAACGCAGCGCGCGGGTCAGCATTCGGAGTGCTGCCTTGACGCCGTTGTCGAGGATATACAAGGGAACGGCAGGCAGTTACGTTTCGTTATCACAAGTATCGCATAATCGTTTCTGCCCCTCTTTCGCCTCCTTCGCCTGTTTCGCCTAGTGAACGATGCTGTGGGAAGCTGTAACGGACTCTTGTGACGTGTGTCAATGCACTAGGTATATCGACAAGCGTTATCGATGTATCGGAAGATATTCACATATTTCTGGCGCCGTGTTATGTATCTGTGTGGTTAAGTGCAGTGTCCCGAAACTAATAAGGCTTTCGTTGAAAGGTCGTCGTCTGACTAAAGTTAATGACTGTGTCGCATCAGCTGAATACCAAACGTAACGCTATATGCGGCAACAATTAAGATGTTCGATAAGCAATTTTATTCCGATAGGTTTCCTAATGAAGTTTAACCCAAAAACTCTGATGGACTTGTCTTAACTCGGTTTCCTTTAATGCATAAACAAATGTGTCGCAAAGTAGACGTTAAATGGCCCTAATGTAAGATTTTCTCCAAATTGGAGGGTTTTTGAATCCTTACTGTTTATAGCCTATTGAGAATAAGCACGTAAAAAATGCTTATGGAGCATTTCAAAATTCAATTACATCCAGGCAAAGCGATTTGTAAGATTTGATGCGTTAGTATTAATATCGGAAATCTTCGAAAAAGTGTTCTAACTTTTTTCTAGTCATAACGTCTTTGCAGTTATATCGATTTGACGAAACCAGTTCAATTGTTCATTGTTTTAAAGTAAAAGTCGATTCAATAGTGGAGCCATATCAAACAGAGGATTTTAACGAATTAACGAAAGTGAGGAAAAAAACAGTGATAATTACTTAGGTTGTCCTCATGTCGGTGAGATACTTTTTACAACACTGAGTAGAAGTGGAACAATCTGGAAAACATTAACATCAGTTTTTGTGGGATAAGCTTTAGGAACGGATGTTAACCTTTTATAAAGAAAAGAGTTATTAAGTTGAAACAGTGTTTGAAAACTTATTCAGAGATATCAATATTAAAAAGGAAGTGTACTATAAAATAAGAAAGAGTAGATACCATATACATGATTAGTTATTGATTATTTCATTAGGTTTAGCAGTTTTACGTGTCAAAATATAGTGAAATTCTTGATTAAATACCGAAAGGAAATTTTCGACTAAGAGTAACGTGTAACAAAATATCATTCTAAATTGAAATTGTATCGAAATGTTTTAGGCAGAATTGCCTTTTCTTTTCAGAATATTAATAGGATAGGGTGATTGCTTAAATAGACCAGTGTTTTATTTACACGATTAAATCTCAAATTGCAGGCATGTTGTGATACAAGAATGGCAGTATTATGAAAAAATTGCCACATTTTTAAGTCATGGTATTATTTGAGTTATTAGGTGGATTTCTTTGCGACACTTTGTATGTCAAGTAACATTGTTAAAACAGAAGAGCATCGTATGATTGATATTTAATATATTAGGGGTACTCGTAAGAAATCAATTTTTTTGACGTCGAGAACACCTCTTTCAAAATAATTGATTACTTATGGTTATCCCTAATATTTCATAGACTAATCATATATGTTTAGTATTATCTTTTTCTACATCACAGGCAATGTACGAATGATGTAAAATTTTAGAATACTAGGAAAGATATCTGCAAGCTTAAAAGTAATTTAAAGGCATAAAACATACTTCGAACGGATTTATAAATATTTCTTTGATATCTCTGATTACGTTTTATTTTATTAACTAAAACGGCAAGTGTCAAATGAAGAAATAGTGCTTTGAGAAGTAAAAATTTGTAGTGAGCTATTTAAATTAATGTTTTGGTTACGGGAATAAAATATTAAATTCTTTGTACCGGAACAAATTGAAAGCTATAACGAACTAAGACGCATTAACAGGGTAGACGAGAGCCTTTTTGCTAAATTATCATTTATGTTTCATCTGCCATTTGTCTTTTTAGTGCAGTAATCCGATAATGATAAAGTGTATTATCGTGGTAGATTAAAATCTTAAATCTGAATATTTAGCTATACTTTTCGGTACATGTACACATTAGAAAGTTCGACGTGTACATTCTTGATTAATACTATGGGTAGTAATTTCTTAGAAGATACTGCCCAACTAGTTGTACAAATGATGTAATTTCTAAGGAATGAAAAAAATTGGAAAAAGCAATATCTCAAATATAACCCTATTGATCTACGTTTACATCTAAATGAGTACAAAAGTTGGTTAATTTATTTTTGTTGAATGAAACCCTTGGTGACAACTTACAATTTTGTATCATTCTCATGCACAAAATTACAAAACCAAGAATCGAGACACAAAATTTATCGATAAATGATCTGCCAGATGAGGGCGTCATCGGAAATCATAAACTTAAGCTTATGCTAATTTGAATTGAGCGCGCTCGATCCTGTTTCCTCATTGAGCACGTAATTCTATAGTTGGAATCCCACTGAGCGCGTTGAGTGTCACACAGAGCGAGGCACATGAACAAATCTTGAATGAAAAATCAATCAAAACGGGGGTGGACGTGACGCACGTGGTCAATTGCGTTAAGTGTTACACAGAACGCGGCGCGTCAAAGATGAAGAATGAGATTAAGGAAAATTCTGATTGGTTGTTCATCCTCGGTGCATAGATGGCGCCACGCACCGTGTGACAATTGCGCGCAGTGGGGCCCTGGCCCGATTCTATGACAGTTGCGCGCCAAAATGCAGCACGAGTATGGCATCGAAAATACCGTGGAAATAGAACGCGTTATAAGTTAATTTCAAAGTATTAGACGTCCCTCGCTAAACCAAAATAGTAACAATACGTGTTCCATACAATAACAACGCGTTTAAATGATCTGAAGTGTATTCGTTCTTTCAAACTTTGTTAAATTTTTTCCCAACCGGGAGACTACCAGGCGTGAGGTGTTTAATTTTGCAAAATTCTTACGTGCTATACTTTTCCCACGTTATACGCCCAGAGCCGTACATGGATAATCGCCGGGATTGTGATGAAGTGAAACACGTCGAGGAACTTGATCGACGTCGATAAAGATTTTCTAAATACCTACGGTGCCGATGTTCGTTTTTATGTTGACAGCTGTGTCGAATTATATTGGGTATTGTACTAAATGTCATACTCCACCTGTCGTTTTCGTACAATAATTATAAAGAAATCGAAGTAAAAGTCCTGAATTAAAATCTGGATTCATGCTTTCCGGGGTCCTATTTGACTGCAGAGGGACACCCTGCGCCATCTGTGATTTCCAGGTCAATTAAATTTTCACTGCGAGACCTCGTCTTCCCACCGTTCTAGCATAAAAGCGCATAAAACACTTTTTTTTGCCTTTATCCCGTTCAAATGCGAGTTGATCAATTACCAATGTGTTCTAAATTGTCGTAAAATTGTCCTGACCCTTTCGTTTCTCATATCAGAGCCTTCGATAATTCTATATTGATCGAAATATGAGCTCGACGCCATTTTGGTTCTTAGAAAAAAAGTGTTGTATTCGAATCGACTGTTTTGAGGGGGGTTTCATTTCACCTTAAATAGACAAACGTTGTCCAAAGTGTTACTTGTTTTTCGTGATAGTTGCAGAGAAATGGTTACGTTAGAGGTTATGTACTTATCAGTTTCGGCTACGCACATACATTGCACCGTGACAGACGTTTTAAGTGTCATGAACCAATGTCTAACGCCGTGTCATTTTTCAGACTCTTCAAGAATGCTTTCAAAATTAAAAGCACTCCCGAAAGTGCTGCGAACAAAGCGAAGACGCGCCGTCTCCTCGGAATAACTGCACGCCGCCTGTCTAGTCCCGAAGTTACGCTGAAAACCAATAAAGAGAATGGTGGCGCCATCTGCAGTCCCCAAGCCAACAATTCGAGCCCTCGGAAGGTAATACAATTTCCTTTCTTAAGAATTTTTAGCATTTTTAAATTCGAATAAACAATCGATAATATTTCGACAATTTACAAATCTCTAAAGAATTTAAGAGAACTTTGAGTTTATATTTAAATTAACATTTTCAGAATAATCCATTACTTTTGATCATGTTTTTAATAACTGTAGTCGATCCGTTTCTTCTACTTAAGTGCCAGTTGTGTAGTATTTTCTGTCATTATTTGAAAATAGTGTAAGAACATCTCCAATATGAGTTAGTAAAACCAGTTGCTGGTACAGAAACACTAATCTCACGTCATTGTTATAAATTATCTTCAAAAGAAAAGTTACATATAAATGCATATACTAACAATGGAATGAAGGTTTTGAGTTTGAATGATATAACTTTAATGTGTAGTTGATGCAAAATATAAATTAAATAGATCATTTGAGGGATATGCTTTTTATTCTCCATTTATTAAATAATAAGCAGTGGTCCTTTAATTTGGGATTTTATTCTTGCTTATAAAGATTTTTAATTTCTGTAGTTTTTTTGTTGTACTTATTATCTTTAAAAAGCCCAAAAGAAGAGTTCAAAGGTTATATTGGCCGATTCATCTTGGCTTCTTCAATTACTGAAAGTTCAGAACTTCTAATATTATTCACGTTATTTGTCATTCTTTAGTCCTTATTTAATTAATGAAACATGCAATTACTACTTGAACTTAGGGTTTATGAGAGGATAAAATAAAATAATTTTTTAACTCATTTATTTCAAATGAAAATTAAACAATACTTTTGATGATTGATTCGGTCAAAAATGTCGTACGTGAGAATAACATTTTATAAATAACAAAGAAACAAATAACGAATAGACAAATAAATAAACAATAGATAAATATATGATTTCAATAATGCCATTTCAGTTGAATAAATAACTTGTTTAGTATAATTCTTTATTCATTGTTCAAATAAATTCTACGCAACTTTGTTATTAATTAAAAGTGTTATTTCAATTTCTGGTCGATCAATTTAATCGACGTCGGTATGTGATTCTTCTAACTACCTATGTCACAGATATTTGTATTTATAATAACAACTGTGTCGAATTATATTGGTTATTGTACTAAATAGCATACTCCATATGTCGTTTTCGTACAATGATTATAATGAGACCGAAGTAAAACTATAGAAGTCTCCTGGATTCGTGGTTTTCGATGTCCTAATTGACTATAGTGCCACCCTACGCCATCTGTGATTTCAATGCCAATTAAATGTTTTCTCCAGAACGTGACTACCTTCGTTTCAGCATAAAAGCGCATAAGACATCTTTTGCCTTTATTCCGCCCAAATGCGACTTTCTCGATTACTAGAGGGTTCTAAATTGTTGTACAATTGTTCTGACACTTTCAATTTTCATATCGGAGCCTTCAATAGTTTTATATCGATCAAAATGTGAGAGATCGACGACATTTTGGTTCTGGTCTAGGTTAAGTAAAAATATTTTTGAATAGAAATCCAACTATTGAGAGTGTCGGGATATTTCTTAGGTATTCATGAGTCATGTGCTAGAATTTCAGTCAGTTTGGTGGAATATCCTTAAATAAAAGTGTCTTATTCGAATCGGCTGATTTGATGTGGAGAGGGAGTTCATTTCACCTTAAAGTAAAATAAAAGTACAAGAAATAAAAAAATAAGAGTAGTCATGCCCAAAACTACCAGGGTCTTAGGGACATCTCGTGAAAGAATAATTAAACATAATTAATAATATCTATTAATTGTCTTTAACTTAAAAGTTTCCCTTCCAACACGCGTGAAGGTCAATTGCTAAATTTTAACAACCGTGGATTTTTTGCTGACCGATAATATATCAAGTCGGTACTCTACGTATCAGTAACTAGACACTAATTTTGATTCGATATTCCAGATCGCTCACGGAAAGACGAAATTACGACACCCTCTGGAGGACTACGACCCGAACAGTCAAGACAGCGGCTACGGTGCAAATTTTCCTGATCGAGAAGAGGCAGGGTCAAAGAGTCAAGACAGATTCCAATTCGCGGAACCGCTGGGATTTGCACCTCGTCGATTGTCCGTGGAGTCCCGCAGCCCCGTACAATCGCCCGTACGGTACTCCCCTCGACACCGGAATGCAAGACCATCCTTGTTTAGAAGTTTATCCTCGGGATACGAGAGTATGGACGATGGCTTCAACGAGCTGATAGACATGGATACCTTGGACGAGAACGCGCAGCTACCCAATGGGATTTCAAATTTATTGTCCGGCCACATCGTTTCAACGGAGAAGCCGATGGACTGCGACGGCTCGACCACGCCTGAATTTCCCAAAACCAAGGCTGCCTTCAGACGGTCCTTGTCGTTGCACAACGAAAGACCCGAAAAGAGTACTTCTATCGCGAAAGTCCGATCCTGCCTCTTCCGTTCGCCAAATGCTACTTCCTCGGCTGCTAAACTGTCTTTCGAGGATAACCGGAGATACAGTCCACTGGGTTCACCGCAAGTGAAATCCTTTAAGAGGCCAGAACCGCCGACCAACATAAGCCCGATGCTAGTCAAGCGATCAAAGAAAGCCTGCAGCTTCCAAGACATCCCCTTGGATTCCCCGGACTTGATAACCGACAAGCCTGTCTTACAGAGAAGCTTTTCCGAGACCGAGGCACACGCACATATCAAATCGGCCATTCACAGAAGTACCACCGACGCCGACCTGACGGGCGATTTCAGTAAAACCTGTATCTTACCGTTGGCCGATGGAAACCACGAAGACCTGAAATCCATTTCAACGGATACGTTAGCGGCCCTGATTCATGGAGACTTTAAAGATACCATCGACTCCTTCACCATCGTCGACTGTCGGTATCCGTACGAGTTCGAAGGGGGTCACATCGCAGGTGCGGTGAATCTCTACAATAAAGACCTTATCGAGCAAACGCTCTTGGATCCACTCACTAACACGCCCGAGATACATCCGGATACGAGGAAACGCAACATCCTTGTGTTCCACTGCGAGTTCTCCTGGAAACGAGGACCTAATCTCTCACGGTTTCTCCGAAATATTGACCGACAACGGAACAAGGAACACTATCCCGCGTTACACTACCCAGAGGTATACCTTCTTCATGGAGGTTACCGACAGTTTTACACGGAGCAGAGGCATCTTTGCTCGCCCCAGGGTTACAGGCCTATGAGGGATCCAAATCATGAGGCGGATTTGAAACAGTTTCGCAGCAAGAGCAAGAGCTGGCAGGGCGAAAAATCAAGATTAAGCGGGCTAACCGTTAAAGCTAATCTTAAGCGGCTGGGTTTTTGAATGTTCGATCGTATTAGGGAACGATCGAGTCCATGTTTCTCCAATGGATGCGAGTTGATTTCGTTCGGTCAAACGACGCTTCCCCGTTTGCAAACTGACGATAGGAATATCTTGCCGATGTAAAAGACGCTAGGCAATAAGACTGCACGTAGATTCCGATTCTTTAAATATATTGATCCGGTTCCAGTACAAGCTGAACTAAGCTGGCAAGGCGAGAAATCAAGAGGAAATGAGCTAACCGCTGCAGCTAATCTTAAGCGGATGAGTTTTTGAAAATTAGATCGTGTCGGAAAATGATTGAACACGTGTTCCCGTTTGCAAACCGATGGTAGAAATAACTATCCTATGTAACAGAGTAGACAACGATACTACATAGCGTCCAATTTAGTTCTATAAGTATTAGGGGGGCCGGAAAGTAATGTCGTTTTCTACATTAAATTCAATGCGCAAAAACGATATTACTTTCCGGTCCCCCTAATATACAGATCAGGTTCTAGTACAGGTTGAACCGATTAGGCAGGGCGAAATATCAAGATCGAATGAACTAATTGTTAAAGCAAATCTTAGGCGAATGAGTTTCTGACAGTTCGATGGTATTGGAGAATGATAGAGCCCACGTTTCTCCAGTGGATGCGAGTCGATATTGTCCAGTCAGATAACGCATTCCAGTTTCCAAGCCGACGATAGGAATAACTTGTCAATTGAACATTTTACCGACCGGCGATCACGGGTATCGCGGAATCGATTAATAGGCTTCCGGTCGATGAATTGTTAATAGACCCTAGACAACAAGACTACGTAGCCTCCAACTGAGTTCTTCGAGTATAAAGATCAAGTTCTAGCACAGACTGAGCCGAGCTGGCAGAGCGAAATAGCAAAATGGAATGGACTAATTGTTAATGTAAATTTTAAACGGATGAGTTTTTGATTATTCGATCGTATCAGAGAACGATGGAAGTCTCTCCGGTGAATGCGAGTTGATTTTGTCGAGTCAGACGACGCGTTCTCGTTTGCAAGCGACGATAGGAACAACTTGCCGATTTAACGGACACTAGGCAACAAGACTGTACATAGCCTCCGATTGAATTCTCTAAGTATAACGATTAGATTCTAGTACAAGAAAAGGAAAAACGCTTAAACGTCGATTCTAAGGTTGGTTGCACGTCGTGGGCACGCGCGCATATGCCCATCATAAAGCTAATATACGAGGTTCTCGCGTGCTTGCGCGCTCGTGCTGCACCCTAGCGGAAACGACAAGTTTTAGTCGAAAATGCAATAGCTCTGACCCAATCCTAGAGACGGCAGGGCAGAGCGAGTAAAACTGCGAGAGGGCACGTGTCACAAATTTCTAATGCTTTCAATTATCGGGCGGGCATCCCACTGTACAGACAGGACACCAATCCCTATCGTGGTTTTACAACCTCTTGTGTAATTCATAGTTATTTTCATTGATTACTAGTGGGCGTTTAAAAAAATGCCAAACGATTGAAAAGCCGTTTAATTTTTATTTTTTAATTGTCTTAGGGTTCGGTGCTATTGCCCGTCCACGAATAATGTGCGCTCAAAGAATGAATGTATTTTTTTTTCTTTTTTTATATATATAGTATATATATATTATGTGCGATAGGGAAATGCATAGAGAAGAAAAGAGAACATAGATAAATTATCTTAAAATGTGCAAAGTTTTTAAATATTGTAATAATTATCGTACGTTATGTCAGTCTCAAGCTGTAATATAACTCCTTATAATAATACAATCAATTTCTCTCCTACAACGTTTTTCATTTGACCTTATGCGACCCAAGCGAAGTATTAATTAAAGTTGCGGTTAGTTAGATTGTTCGCAGGCGGAACGTTCTGATTTTCTTTCGCTAATAGCAACCGCTTACATGTGCTTACGGCAGGATTTATTGAGAAGCGTAAGAGGTTTCCTCACGATGGAAGGTTAAAAATATCGGATTTTGTTTTATAAGTGTCATAAATAATTTTCAGTTCTATAAATATCTCATTGGGGTGAACAGAAAATCCTCATTTGTTTAATGCGTTTAGATGAGAAATAATTTCATTCTTTTTTTGTATTCTGAAAACTACAGCGGATGTTCCGTCGCGTCGTCAACGTGAGCGATGGTTGTTGTCTTCAGGGCGTAAGTCTGGGACCTCGCAATTTGCAATTAAATCACGAACACGACGACAGCGCGACGACTGTACGCCAACTTAATTTTCTACGACTGTTTCTCGTTGAATGTGAGCCTAAACGACGCTGCTCTTAAGATGAAGTGAGACCCCCTTCAAATCAGTCGATTCGAATACAATACTTTTTTTCAAGAGTATTGGACCAAACTGTCCGAAACTTTGACACATGACATTCGTGATCATCTGAGAAATGTACTGATACGTTCAACATTTTTGGAAAACACTTTTTAACTTAGCCCAGACCAGAACCAAAATGGCGTCGAGCTCTCATATTTCGATCAATATAGAATTATCGAAGGCTCTGATATGAGAAACTATAGGGGCAGGACAATTTTACGACGATTTAGAACACTCTGGTAATCGATAAACTCGCATTTGAACGAGATAAAGGCAAAAAAAGTGTTGTATGCGCTTCTATGCTAAAACGATGGGAATACGAGGTCTCGGAGTGAACATTTAATTGATCTGGAAATTACAGATGGCGCAGGGGGTCCCTTTGCTGTCAATTAGGGCCCCAGAAAGCATGAATTCAGAGGATTTCTGGAGTTTTACTTTGATTTCTTGATATTTATTGTACGAAAACGACAGGTGGAGTATGCCATTTGGTACAATATCCAATATAATTCGATACAGCTGTCAATATAAAAACGAACGTCGGCAACGTAGATATTTAGAAAAATCTTCTTTATCGACGGCCATCAAGTTCCTCGATGTGTTTCACTTCACCTTAAAGGTTGAGTTCTTTTGTTCAGATTTGTGTATCAAGTTGACAGGTTAAAATGTGTGAACCAAGCCGACTGGTTAAAACTTGTGAACCGAGTGACGCTCATCGAAAATCGCAATGTTCTCGTGCCTCCCTTGCAGAGTGGGAGTTTAAGAAAAAAGCGATTCTCAAATCACAGAATCGTGCGAGAGGAGTAACGTTGGAAATTCTGAGAATACTTGAGTTTTCGCCGGAAAAGAACCCCAAATAATGTAAAGGAAGGATTCCTCCAATGCCGATTGGTTAACTCACTTGGAAGTGCCAAATATTTAGATGCCGGGTTCTGAGAGGGTTCTGTTTTAGTACGTTCCTTTGCCCTTTTCAACGACCTTAGTGGCCAGAAGCCACCCCCTCTCCGACTAGTAGGGAGCTAGCCGGTCGGACAGGGAAATCGGGAGGAAAACCCGACCGGTCCTCTTGGAGGATCGGGGAAGAAAGTCCGCTGCCCAATCCGAAGTTCGGAAAAAGAAAGCCAAAGTTTGTCGGCGGACTACCGGTCTTGCGGTCCGTAATCGCCGTCGCAGTTTCAAAATGAGAATTGTATCTTTGGCGCACGTCAGTTGGCGCTGTGCACGCGGAATACCAATGAACTAAACTAGTCCAAAACGTTATGTCAAATGCATCGCCTATGTCGGAATTTCTTAATGTACTTAATTTTTATAACACATCATATACAGAATTGATTTTTACTTTGATGAGTTTCCTCTTTATAGGTCTAGGGCGCAACACTCCTAAATACTTGAAAAATGCAGCCTATCAGGAGTTAATTAAATGATCGGTAAGGTAAAATTTAAAAAAAAATGTATTAGAAGTATTAAAAACGATGCGATGCCTTAGATCTTCTAATTTTGGTCTCGTAGTTCGATTTCGATGTATGCTCCAATTATTTATCGTTTGGATTTAAAGTACATTGTAAATTTATTGGAACCAATTAGGTACCGGTGTTACTGACCTGGCCTGTAACAAGGCCCCTTAAGCGCTGCTTTCAGTAAAAATAGGTACAAAACACATACATTTAATTACATACGATAATAATATTATATAATATATATTCGTCTTCTCCGAAACACGAAAACACGGAATACATAGGTAGAACGGGAAATATAACATGTTCGCACTTATATACAATTTGAACGTTATAATGTATCGAAATGGTAATTATAAGCAGAGTTAAGAGCTCCACTAATATTACAAATATTATCACAAGATTAATACTTTTTATGGTAAATTAAATTATTGGCTTAGTTTACACCGAACCTTTCATTCTCGTTTTACTCCGAAGTGAGATAGGATCGAAGCGAAAAAATGTGTAATGTAAACACCGTCTATTCAATTTCGTTTTACTCCACCTATCTACGTGGAGTAGCCGCGAAGTAAAAGCAAAATAGAAGCGAATTGCGTCGGAGTAAGTGCAATGGAAATGAAAAATTAGTGCTGCCAACCAGCAAACAAGGCATAAGTTATTGTGTTGATTCAGGCAATCTGCCATATCTTTAGTAGCGTGAACAAATCACCGCGTACAATAGTAGTGCTAATACCCTGCTATACACAATAGTAGTGTATTAACACTATTGCATGTATGGTAGATTACTATCTTACTAAAACCCATTATTGGTTTCTTCACATTCAACCACGAATATTACGTTAAGAGTTGAGATTACATATTTCCAATTAAAACATTGGTAATACTGTGTTTCTTAGGTACATTATCATATCGCTTCTATTTCAGAAATGCGTTATTTCTAGTGTAAACTTGCCAATAATTCATATCGCTTTGAAGTGAAGAGGAATGAAACGGGAATGAAAGCCAGGGTAAACTAAGCCATTATACCATGGGTATACAAGGTGACCTATTTTAAATAATTCATTAAAATATCTTACGAACCAAGGGTTTAACCTTTTAGTTATGAAGCGCGACTATAGTGGCCCCCTTCATTCCAATGTATTCAAAGCAATAAATGAATGTCGTATCAATACAAAATATTAGTACTCTGCGGTCGAGCTATTCGTACAGGTGGTACAGTGGCGGACATACATGCCTCCCCTGCAGATATGGCATCGCCTGTGCAGGATGGAAGGGCATTGATGTCTCCCAGTGTACATCCTCATATCCAACTCCGTAATCCCTGTCCGTAATTAACAGGTTAATTGAAAAATATTAAATATAAAAGTTGCATGGTTTTGAGGGAGGAAAGTGTAAAAAATATGAAGAAAAATGTAGTATTTATAATGACTTTACAGCAAGCAATGCTTGTTTTTTTAATGGAATCATGTTTTTCCCCTTTATTTCAAGGTTTTTGTTTGAAAACCTACAACGTTAAAAGGAACCATTTCTAAATTAACTTAAAAGTTGACACTGTTTTCCCCAGTTTATTGCTACCATAGTTTAAAAGATATGTTGTTTTGAAAAATGCGGCAGTTTACTTAAGTCGTCAGTTTTTCGAATAGGAGTTAGCCACATTGAATCCACTATTTCTACGAATTACTAATTTTAATTTGCATGCGCGGGTTTAGAACATGAACATAAGAATGTATGGACGGAACCCACAGTCCCATTTTCGACCAGGGGACACCTGTTACAAACCTGCTACAAACTTTACTTCCTCGTGTTGCATCCTAGGTAACGTTAAAAGAAAGTTAACGTGGTTTAACGTCGTCGCTGTTTCATTTCCAGCAGAGAAGGCAGATTGTTTTTGGAAAAAAAAAAACAATGAGTTTGAATGAGATCGTCATCTCATACCGCACAGTTGTACAATATATTGGGTTGTCGAATAAGTCCGTTCGCTTTTTTTGTAATTTGGAAATTCGCGCAAAAATACAATGGTTTAATACAATGTTTTTTGCTCTACAAGATAATGTTATTGGTTTTATAATTTGAATTAGTGTTGATTTTTACATCGTTAAAATAGAATGTCAAGTAGTCAAAACTCAGCATTTTTTATCCCACTTGCTTTTTGCGTTTAATCGTGGTGCTAAAACCGCTGAAGCTGCTCGTGAGATTTGTGATGTTTACGGAACCGATGCCAAAGTTGTAAGTATGGCTCGGAAATAGTTTGCAAGATCCAGAAACGGTAATTCTTCGAGTCAAGGCCGCGGGATTTCTATCGCATCGGCACCGAAAAACTTATCGAACGATGGGAGGAAGTAGTAAATAATAACGGAGAATACATCACTGATTAATCTGATATTTATTATTTTTTCAAGTGAATTTTTTTTCAATTTATAAGAAGTGAACGGACTTATCCGACAACCCAATAGTACAGTAAATTATTAACCTTTGAGTTAATCGCGAAATGATTCCTTTGAAAGTACTTGGTTTCCAAACAAGAACCTTAAAAAAAAAAAAGAAAAACAATTCCATTAAATAAAAAAACAAGCGTTACTTGCTGTACCATCATTATAAAAACTATATTTTCATTTATATTTTGTCCCACCTCAAAACCAAGCAACTTTTAAAGAAAACTTTTTTCAATTTGGCCCTTAGTTCGTAAGATATTCTAATGAATAATCAAAAATGAGACATATTTATACATGCCTCAACGCAAAAAGCTTAGATATAGTACGTATGTGCTAAACGAAAATATAGTATTTGTGAATGGATCCTGCCATCTTTTTCCAGACGAAGACAATCTATATGTCTAAAACAATTCGTTTTTTCGTAGATCGATGACTGTATTCCGCATCATCCCATATTTGCCTCTTTTTACGTGAAGGACCCGGTTGTTGTTCATCGGATGCACTTAATCCATGCTTACTGATGGGTTCATCTTTAATTTCGTTGTCTGATGAATCATTTCCAATCTGGTTATGCGATTGCGTTGATCTCTCTTCAATCGTACAGTGTTCTATACCTGTCAACCCACTGTTTTGATACACGTATTAGATAAATCTTCATAAGAAAAAAAAAAAATGCGATTTGGTATTTAAACACTTGGTTTGAAATACGGGATATCTACTTCAAGCCAAACACGTAGTCGTCAATCCAAGCCCGTAAATGAATAATGAAATGGTCCGACAGGAATTACTGTATTCGTGGAATAACAGATTTATGAATTATAGCGTAATTGAGATAGTGAACATAAAAAATACGTGGAGACAGAACAAATCTTGCATTAGAATTTAATTGTCATACGCGAGCGCGACACGACACGACACTTGCATCTCACCTTAAACGGACCTATTTACATTCTAATAAATAGTAAACGGTACACCGTTTACTATTCATTAAGATGTAAATAGGAATTGTGTGAATAAAATCTCTTAAATTTAAAAGGTCTAGATTAAGACATTAATTTAACAATACCGATAACTGTACTTACTCAGCGGATCGATACAGGCGATAAAATTCCTTGTTACTGTTTAACTGGGCCAGTTTGGACAAAAATTTTTCATCGTGACTGATCACGATAAGTTGGAAGTTCTTCTGATATTGTGATCGTATCTTAACCACCCTGAAACGATTCAAGCATAAATTAAAAATTTAATTCACGAAATTTTACAGATAAAAACTTACTATCATGAAGTAGAACCTAAATATCTTTGAGATTTCAATACAGTATAATTGTATAAAATGAACATCAAGTTGCACTGCCTCTAAAGCTTAAGCAATCAGGATTGGCAAAGTTTGACCCATTTCGGTTAAAACCAGCGGTTTTTTACGGTTTTTTCCAGTAAATAAAATACATTACATAAAACCCACTCGGTTTTAACAGGTTAAAACCATTTTATAAAATCCATCAGTATGTACGTAGCGTAGAATTTATTCTAATATTGTATGCATCCTGTACCTACACATACGTTCCCCACTTACATCCAAACAAATTAAAATAAATTCTAACCTATCTACGTATTCAAACATATAGTAGCATTCAAACATATTTTCGTTTATGCGCATACTCGGGATAAAGCAATGGAAAGAACCCGGCTTAAATATGGTTTAAGCAAGGTGTTAACCACTGTTTTTTAGGCAACGATTTGGGCGGTAAAAATCAGCAAATATGATTTAAGCCGGTTTAAACCATTGGGCTGGACATTTTGTAAAAAAAAAAAAACCCCGGATTTATGCCAACTCTGAAAGCAGTGGCATGATTTGTAATAAATCTAGGAAAAAATTATTACTATAACATTATACAACTTGGTTTCCATTAACTCCTTGCTTCTAAATCAAATGAGTTAATTCTTCTCATTCATTACTAGAGGCTTATAATCGCAATTAAGTGGCATAAGGCTTACGCTGCTAATGCATCCGCCAAACTATTTGCATTTTCTTCATCTAAATTCGTGGTAGGTTCGTCAAGTGCAAGGATACCGCAATCTTTACAAAATGTTTCTGCCAGAGCTATTCTGAGAATTATGGAAGCTAAAACCTGAAGGAAAACAATCAGAACAAATAACACATTATTTTAAACTTCCCGTTAGACTTTGGAACTACTAAACTAAAATAACGTATTACTTACTCCTTGACCAGCACTACAACGACCTCTCATGTCCATTTCAACGCCGTGTTTTTCTTGAACAAGTTTATACGTGTAAGTTCGACGTTTTGCCCCCATTCCACCTGTAGCTTCTGTGCGAATTTGTATACTTGCAGTATCCGTTCCCCGATACACCATGTTCCACAGCCGTTTCAAAATACTATTTAACGTCTGCATCCGTTCCTCGTGATATTCAATCATGGCAGAGTCAAGCACACGCGTGTACTCGTTTAGATTTTGAATAATTTGCTCTTGTATCTAATGGAGTTACGTATCACCAACATTACGTTTAATATATCATGTTGTATGTATACAGTAATATGTTTCATGTGATGTAATCGTAATAATGAAGTAATTTGCTCTTGTATCTAATGAAGTTACGTATCACCAACATTATGTTTAATATATCATGTTGTATGTATACATTAATATGTCCATGTAACAATTTAGTTTCCGTGATTATATGCTCATTATGTTATTAATACTACTTAATTAGTTACATGAAACATCCCTAGTAGCATTGAATAATTTCTAAATATTTCTTTGTAATCTTTGCTAAGTATCTCAAGCGACAGATTTTTTAAGATTTCTTCGAGATTTCATTCGAACATATTTGAAATATTTGTTGAAAATCTCAATGACATATTTAGTTTCAATAATTTATACACATATAGAGAAATTATATTTTTTNTTGGTATACTTTTCTTGAATTCGCAATATTGTTATACTATAAAACATACGAAATGCAACAAAGATATTGAACGGAAATTAAAAAAAAAACATTATTAAAAAATCAATCGACTTTTCCCCGAAACGCATACAGCATATGCATAGGTCTTTCACATTACAATATTTAAATTGGGTTCATCACGAGGGTAATCTTATGGCCCTGTATGCCTGACTGACCCTTAAACATTAGGGTCAACAATATTGCGCACATAAAAAAAAAAGTAAATTATGTTATTCACAATGGACTATTTTATAATTTTATACGGTTTACGCTAAATTGTTAATCGCTAATTTTTCAGAAATGCATTATAGAAGATTCTTATTGGTTGAATAAACATCCGTTAGTTTGCATTGGGCGTTATAAGCTCCTCAATGTTTATTCGAATCGACTACTCGATTGTCTGACTCGACTCATAGTTAAACTGATTCTTGAACGAAAGATTTTACATTACGCGGAAATCAAGTTCTAGCGATTATCGCTTTATACTGAAGTATCATTAATTATTTACCGTTAATTCGTAGCATTTGTTCCTGTAATTTGTTCGAGCGAGCCTGTACGATTGTTTCATCAATTCCAGTTGTAACTGCTTAATATTTCTTTCCAGCTCTTCTTGTTTTCCCATCACAATATTTTTCTACAATAAAAAAGGAATAATATGCTTATCTGATACATCTACTAAAGTATATGTAACGTCAAACACACTTCCGGTGTCAACGAACTATGCCAAATACATTTTTATATGGTTACAAAACGGCAAAGATCAGTTATAATATTCTAAATATGAACATATTTCCACCTTGATTTACCATTTTTGTCAGCTGAAGAATTAAAACACAGAATCCATGAAATAAGAAATATAAACAATTTTAAATATAAGTGACCATAAAAATACATTTATCTTCCTTGAATTTAAATATGTAAGTACCGTTTCAATCCTCCCTTATCTATTTGGTGTAAAAATATTTCGCGATGCATTATATTTTCTATAGGAGTCACTGTACTCATGTACCCTCCGACATAAATCTAACTAATTCAGCGCTTTTTTTAAATCTTATTTATTTTCAAGTAACGAATTTAAGTTTGCCCTAAGAAAAATATGTATACTTCTTTGGAATTATTAGATTATTTTTAAACTCAATCGATGCATTAATGATTTTATAACATTAAACGTCGATTATCTTAATACACGTTAAATTAAACAATAAACTCAGTCGTAATTAGAAGAAAATTTGTCAGGGTAGTTTCCTTTTTTGCTGCCCTTTCTCAAGGTGTGAGATAAGCAAACTATCCACCATGAAAACCAGCAAGAAAGAATAGGACAAACTGTAAGTCTACATTTCCCTGTACAGATATTCTTCTGGTTACATGTAAATTCATTAATTAAATAACAGTTACTAGTCCTGATAGCTGCTGCCATCTAAAATAACAATTCGGCAGTAACGAATTTAAGTTTGCCCCAAGAAAGAAATGTATGCTTCTTTGGAATTATTAAATTATTTTTAAACTCAATCGATACATTAATGATTTTGTAACATTAAACGTTGTTAATCTTAATACACGTTAAATAAAACAATAAACTCAGTGGTAATTAGATGAAAATTTCTCAGTGTGGTTTCCTTTTTTGCTGCTCTTTCTCAAGGTGTGAGATAAGCAAACTATCCACCATGAAAACTAGCGAGAAAGAATAAGACAAACTGTAAGCCTACATTTCCCTGTACGGATATTCTTCTGGTAACATGTAAATTCATCGATAAAATAACAGTTACTAGTCTTGGTACCCGCTGCCATCCAGAGTAAAAATTCGGCGGTTGGACGGACTAAAGAGAGCAACGAGGTTTGAATACGTCATAGAGGTGTAACTTAAACTGTAGACTTTTATAATGTAGTTAATTCATAGCTAAAAAATATCTTTAAAAATTTGGTAAATATATAATGACTACTGCTGAAAATTTCACTCTTTCGGCAGACTTATTGTCCATTGAAATAAAATGTGTCTTTTTTCAAGATTCTGTCCTAAACTGACATTTCGGAATAATGAACCTCTGCCTCGTTTCGGCCATGCCATACTCGGTTTCGCCTAACTCCAATGGTTCAAATTTCTGCGTTTAAAAATGTATTTAGCCGATCCTCTGCCGAGTTTTATGATTCTTACCTCCCGTTGTAAAGCTTCCTGGAGATCTATGAGCTTCTTTACTTCTCTTTTGAGTTGCTCTGGATTCATAGATCGCAATTTTTCTTTCAACTCGAGATATTGCTGTCGAATTACATTGGATTGATCTTGTTTCTGACGCAGCGTAAGGTTGTCGACTAGTTCACGTTTTCTTAATTCATGTCGTGAAGCATCGTCCTTGATGCAGGCGATTTTCCTCTCAAAACTACCCTTCTCAACTTTCAGCTTCTCACTCAAAGCTTCGCTCTCCGCTACTTGGCATTCTGTATTTGCCAATTTCTCAGTAATTTCGCGTTGTATGAAATTGTTGATCTCATTTTGAATTGCATGCAATTCGTACAATTGTCTCTTCGCTTCGGTGACTGAATTTCGGTTATGTTCTTGCTTATCCCAATGCTCCTTCTATAACAGTTATTAAAATGTCCATTAAGGGTCGAATAAGACCAGCCGAAAAGTCGTGAATGACCTTTGCACCACTAGCGTAAATTATGTGAAGCTTAATTGAATTTGATAACTCCTATAGGCGGTGATACTGCAGTCAATTAGGGCCTCGGAAACTATGAATACAGGGGATTTGTGGAGTTTTAATTCGATTTCTTTATAATTATTGTACAAAAACGATAGGTGGAGTATGCCATTTAATACAATATCCAATATAATTCGATACGAATGTCGATATAAATACGAAAGTTGGCAACGTAGGTATTCAGTAGAATCTTTTTTACCGACGTGGATCAAACTTCTCGACGTACTTTACTTCACCTTAAGGCCTTTTGCACACATACCGGCACCGGCGCATGTGCCGGAACTAGCGCTGGCTCCGATCATTGATAATGTTAACACGTACCGACAAAATCGGAGTCAGTGCCGACTCTGATGGATCAGAGGGTATCAGAGAAAGCAATGAACAGCTAACCGACGCCGGCGAGTTTCGATAATGTGTGTACAAGTTCACATAAGATTATTATTCCGTGACACTAAAAAAGCTCGCGATTGTCGATCAATCCCCGAGGGTCGTAAATCCTCGGGCTGGAGAAGACGGGCTCAATTAGTGTTTTGCTGAAGGAGGACTTAACCGCCAGCAGCTGATTTCGCAGATGAATGAAATTATTCCGGAATTAGGTAACGCTCAATAAACTATATTTCTTATACGGTACAATGAAGAACGTGTGATTTTAAATGACTGCGTTGTCTCGGCAACTAGAGTGAATCTACGTTGCCTCGGCAAAGTTTTTATTGAGAGCGCGTGTTGTGTCTCGGCACTGTCGGTTCGAATCTGATTTTTTACAAATCAACTTAAAAAATACCAAAGTGCATAGCTCTCCCTCTAACTCGGTGGAGGGTGGAGGAAGTCAGACTTGAGTCGAGCATTCCCATTGGCAGGGAAAATTATCGAAGGTTCAGGGTTTCCGCCCTCGCGGGCACTCGCGAAACGGCTGGTCACGTAGGCCGCGGATTCACGAAAAAAAAACCCTTGAGCGACGTTTGGTCGCCAGAGGGAAACTTCGGAATTTTTCGAAAGTTAAAAAATGTGTTCACCAGAGGTCGTCCCGCGCCTTCGACGAAAACCCTCGAAAAGACCCTTTTGAGAATGCCCGTACTCAAGTTTATTGCCCCCCTTTCGTGGATTCCTCGGGCCCTTCGATACGCGTGGGAAGGACCTTGAGTTTTCTTTGAGCCTTGACTTGAATGGTTAAAAAACTACTACTTTATTCTACGAATTGATCGGGATGGGCTATCGACGTTCCCTCGTGCAAGTTCCCATTTATTTCCATTGCATCCGGAAAAAACGCCGGTGCGTAAGATTCAGGGAAAAGTCGACCGACTTTTAAATAATGTATCTTTTTTTCTACTCAATATTTTATTTGTATTTTGTATACTTAATAACATAACGATACTACATTTAAAATAAATAGGGATGATTAAATATTAGTTGTATACAACAGGGAAACATTTAATTTAAAATTATTTAAACAGTTAAGGTGATATGAAAGGGTCATTCTACAGAGTGTAACAGAACTAGTAGTCACGGTTTATACAACGGTATCCGTGTTGCTGCTTCGCGAAGAGTATTCGTCGAAACAATGTGCTGAGGAAAATTGATTACCCTCAAAACCTTTCTTCGAAAAAGCCCATTTCGGACCATATTCTCTACCCATCGAATTATCTTCATTCTCCGAACTCTTAACACGTTCCGTGCCGCATGGGGCGTATACGCCCCACGGTCCATTTACGACAGCGTACTCTTCATTTGTTTCGGCACGGAACGTGTTAAGCGGAATTTTTTAGCGTCGGGCCATTACCGAATCATCTCTGGCAACGGTGACCACCTACGGTGAGGCCATGTGCGCTCCACCTTTTCGGGTTTTTTCGGGGAAAGAACAACCGAAGCAGCTCTTGGCCTTTCGGGCGGTCCCTAGACTCCAACGCGTATTCCAACAACCAATGAGCATTAAAAACTTGGAATCTACTCGTCTACATGTAGAGGGCCAAGAGCTAATCAAATGTCTTTAGGATATAAGCGACACGCCTCTACAATAGCGTTAAAATCTGTCCGAAGGAGACGAGCAGAACCAAAATATCAATCGAACCGTCAACATCGAAATCGAATCGAGGATGGACCTAACGTGCAAGGTCGCATCATCGATCTCGAAATCTCGAATCTCAAGCATTTAAAAAATCCCGTGATCCGTGAGGACAGTTAACAAACCTGTCTCGGGGTGCGCAATCTCTCCGTAACTTTCATTCTTTAATATTAAATATTGTGGTACGGCATAACGCGGGTGCATCGCCACAACATTTGTTGAAAAAGGAGTCGAAAAGACCTGTACTATTTTTTTCTAAAGTGCATAAATTTCCGGTAATAACTAATTAAAACACAATCAATCAGTCGTGTTTCCCAACGGTAGGCGCAGCAGAGAGGACGCCGGCAGGGCTGCGTTCGGCTGCGTTCGGCTGCGTTCGGCTGCGTTCGGCTGTCTGCGGCGTAGCAGCCACCGCCAGCATCTTCTCCGTTATGCCTTCCGTTGGGGAACGCGTTTCATTTTCCGTGCTTTAATTAGATATTACCGCAAATTTATGCACTTATTAGAAATTTATGTACTTATTAGTATGCATTTATTAGGAAAAAATAGTACAGGACTTTTCGACTCCTTTCTCGACAAGGATAGCCCTGTACCTGTATAAACCGTGACTACCAGTTCCGTTACACCCTGTATATATATCAAAACGTCAAAATATTTGTTGCCCGCCGATTAGCATAGAAATTAGAAATACAACGGGGCCACTCGCGGCCCCTTTGACTATTGTTAGAACCGCTCGACCCTCGTAGAAACTTTCTGCGAAGATCCCCATCCTTTCCTAGGATTTTCCTGGTGTTACCTGGGACTCACCCCGCCCATTCGGCCCGAGGGAGACTGCTCGGCGCTCTCGGCTAACGGCGCGCGCCAGAAGTGCTCCGTCCGCCGCCTCGGGGGGCCGGGTAAACCCCTCTTTCCTTTCCCTTCCCTCTCCGCTCGGGCCGGCCCGCGACCTTCGCGAGACTACCTTTCCGGGGGCCTGCGCTCCCGCCTCTTGCGGTCCAACGCCCAGGACCCCTATGGACCCCCCTTGGGTCCTTCGCGGGGGTCCCCGCAATCTCTCCCAACGACCACGCTTCGTCGGACCGGGCCTTTCCTCTCAGCCGATCCCAAGACCGCGAAATCCTCTCGTGTCCCTCTCCTATCCGCGGAGTAATTCCACGACGATCGCAGCTCGGGAATATTACCACCCTCGAGGAAAAAGCAGCGGAATGTCCTCGCCGGGCCGGCCAAAAGGTCGGCCACCCGTTGTAAAACCCTTGACCGGCGGGACCACGTGACGGAAAAACCCGGCGCTGCCGCGAAAACTTCGAAGACGGAGAGAGCCCCATATGGGCCCTCATAGAAGTCAGAGTAAGACACCCTAGGCTAAGTTTAGTATAAAAGGGCGACGCTTTTTCGCTCCGAGAGACAGTCCGTCGGAGGGCTCTCGTGGCAGGCAGGACCCTCTCGCCCAGTGGACGTCCGCAACGCTCCCGACGACGCTCCGATCCCCTCGGCTTCCGACGAGGGGATCGGAGCGTTTCTCGAGGTTCCGTTCACGCGGACACGCACTTTCGTCGGCGTGCGGAAAGAAGGACCAGGTCCACTTCCGCCCGGAGAACGGGTCCGACCATCGCCGCGGCGCCGAGCGGACCCCGCCCGCACCTTCGGAGAAGCCCCGCGAACCGTGATTTGCGTCGAAAAAGAATCACACTCAGACCCGCGGGTTGTCTGCCTTCCCCTCCTATGGGACGTCCCCACGCCCTCGCACGATTCCGTATCCATCCGCGCCCGCCTCGCTCTCCGCGTTGGGCACGATAAGAGTCCGTGTCGTGTAACGTATTTATAAAACTTTTTTTCAAACCGGGTGCACCGGTTTAATATAATTATAAAGAAATCGAAGTAAAATCCTATGGATTTAAGGTTTTTGATGCCCTAATTGGCTGCAAAGTGTCACCCTGCGCCATCTGTGATTTTAGTGTGGACTAAATTATCCCTCCGAGATCTTGTATTACCTTTATTTTAACACAGAAGCGCATAACACACTTTTTTTGCCTTTAGCCCGTTCAAACGCGAGTTTCTCGATCACTAGAGTGTTCTAAATCGTTGTACAATTGTCTTGACGCTTTCGTTTCTCATATCAGAGCCGTCAATCTAGATTTTGAAAGTGTCAGGGTATTTTTGAGGTGCTCACAAGTCACGTGATAAAATTTCAACCAGTTCGGTGGAATACTCTTAAAAAATAATGCCCTATTCGAATCGATTGGCTCGAGGGAAATTTCACTACACCTTAACATCTACGGAAATGTATACTATGCAATGAATATGCATAGAATTACATCGCTATGATTGCATAACTGTCACATACTTTTCAAGATTCAGTGTTTTTTCTTTTCTATTACACTTGAATACGAAACTGTTATCACATGAGAGCAAAATATTCCATTATACAAAAATTAAAATTTGTTGTTGTAACGGAAACAATTTAAACGAATTCTATCCTTAAAGAAAATTACTACGCTACATTTTTGCGTAGAAAGCAATCAGTCGTTTACAAATATGGAGACGATCGTTAATGTTGTTTTGTCTATTCCGTGACAGTGTTAATTGAATTAAAGGGGGAATGATATGATTAAAAAAAAGCGCGAGTTGTCCGTGCTGCCACGTAATGGCAAGCAGTGGCAACATTTGTCACGCAAATGCCGTTTCTGTACCGTGCGGCATCGGGATTAATTTTAAGCAGCTTTACCCCAGTAACCTCGAGCGTTAGTTATCAGATGCCGGGCCGGAATAAAAATTTCAGACTAGACGTAAAAAAATAAAGAGTTTGTTAATAAGTAATTCATTAGAAAAGAAATATCTACTGAACTACATAACAAAAAAACTGGATATGTATAAGTTTTACGCGCTTTCGTGATGCATGTACATATTGCATGTATTGGGAAATTCTACAAGGGCCCCGATAAGTACGGTTAAGTAGCTGACTGTTTCAGCCATCCGTCCACTGCACATATTCAACGGCGCATGACGTAACGATGTACAACTAGCGCTCGTGGCGAAAATTCGCTCACCTTCTTTGCGAGGGAAATGTCTTCGTTTACAGCTTCGCATGTTCGCACTCAAAAATGTCGAGTTCGGCTATTCAACGGCGGTTCCCAGTGATATGATGTAAAGTTGACGAGGGTACAACATTCCCTGCGTGGCCCTTTTTTTATTTTCATTAGTGGTTCTGTGTAAGTGCCGTAAGTATTAAACGAGTAACGACACAAGCCAGTTGGACCGCCATGACAGATTCGTGGGTTGCCAGTACGAATTTTTACTCATTTATAGTCTTTCTGACAAAAAATGTTAAAATCTGGCTCCGCGGAAAAAGAATTAGATTTTCGAAAGGCTGCAGTTTCATTCATCAAATTATTCAAAGTACATCCTGTACAAACATTTTTGGGTGCGAAGTTTCCCCGCTTCTAGCCCTCGTAGGTGTAAAAACGCACAGAAATAAAATGATATACCATTCCCCCTTGAATTTGAGAAGAACCGCAAAAAATGTTTTTTTTTCCCAAAGTGGAAACCATATTTTTCAAAGATCGTTTCCAATCCAACGAACTGATGGTCTTTAATTCTGATAAACACAGTGCGAACAAACCTTTGATTTCTCCAAATGACGAACGGCTGTCTCCAGTTTTTCATTGGCAATTACAAGTTTTTGTTTCAATTCCTGAATCATTTCTCCAAGAGAAATTTCACGAGTATACAACTCTTCCTGCTTATCTCGAAGTTGTTTCAGCTTTTGCATATCAGACTGAATTCTTAGCTGTTCTTCCTTCAAAGTGTTCTTCGCTTCTCTAGCACGATGTAACTTTTCGTTATGACTATTCAGAGAATTTCGCAACGTTTCTAAGGACTCTTGATAGTCTCTCAATTTTCCCTTAAGAAATTCTTGTTCCGTCTGTGTCTCTTGAATACTTCTATCACTTTTTACACCTACAAAAATTAAATATTAAAGAAAGAGTATATTTAAAAAAAAAAAACCTAAATCAAATACGATAAGAATATACGAATGAAGAAAGAAAAATAATGAGAAAAAAATAGAAAGCGCAATGTACCATTCTATCAAATCTAAGTAATTCTGTAATGTATTTGGTTGTGTTAAAATAAATTCACAAGAATCCCCATGGGAATTGTCTTTTGCCATACCTGCGTCAGACATGCGCTTTTTTAGAGTTGCAATTGTACATCCAAGCTCTACTATTTCATCAACGTATCGATCCCAAAGTGCCATGTCACCAATCATGTTTTTGCACAAGGCTATTTTTTTTTCAGGTTCTGACATCGATGTTTGTAACTGCTCTACCTTCTTTTTCGATCTTTGAAACCTTATTTTGGTATCCTCAAGACTTTGCCTGAATTCAAAGTTTCACACATTCATAAAACCAATATTACACCGACATTGAAGTGATATGAAATGGTCATCCTATATATATCTAAGAAGTCAAATCGTTCTTGACGCTGAAAAATTTAATCGACGTCGATAAAAATTATAATTCATCTATACCCTTTTTGTGGTAACGCTATTTTGAATATTCAAGTAGTACATAAGCTAGCGCGCCACGTTACCGATATTTGCATTAACGTTCACATTTGTTACACTCCACGTTGAGAATTATACGAAATGAAGCGTTCTTTATGTCATTTCAGTAGAATAATTATAAAAAGATGGAAGTAAAAGTGTCGAAATCTCGTGGCTTCATGATTTTTGATACTCTAATGAGCCAGTGGCGCCATGTGTGACGTTTAGCTGCAACTAAATTTTTTCTCTGAAAACCCGTGTTACCCATGGGACGAGCCAGCAATCTCTTACTACCGTTTGTGAAAGTATTTTCCATATTCTCCCATCAGACTCCGTGATATTCCATTTCTATAGTATTCTAAATTGTTCGAGTTAGATCCTGAAACTCTTCATTTTCGATTCTCAGCATTCAAAAAACATAAAACATCAAAAACGTGCACGGACGACGTCATGTTGGATCTAGTTCATAATAAATGAATAATCTTTCTGATAAAAAATGAAATCTCATGAGTCTCAGGATCTACCTTAGGGCCTCCACGTCAACGTGGTAAAATTTGAAACCAATCTGTACATTCATTTCGGAGAATACTTTCACGAACGATTTGATCTCTTAATATATTGGGTTGAGGAATAAGTTCCCGCGGTTTTAATTACGTTATGTTATATGAAAAACGGCGAAAACTTATTCCTCAACCTAATATATAGGCGGCCTCTTTTATATCACCTTAAATCGCTGTAGGAGGAAGAATGATAAACGACACGAGCATATATTGCACGCATACAAAGAAGAGTACAGATATTCCAATGCGCCATGTAAGTTCGAATACAATAAAAACTTAGGAAAGGGTCTCTGTATTTGGCTAAAGGAGGAAAAGATAGCACACCACTGCCTCAATTCGGATTATCACTTAATTGCTGTAGGAGATAAATGACGGCCGGAAGGATCTTAGGTAGTACGCGTGCAAGAGAGAGCGCAAGTAACCCAAACAATTCATGTCGTACAAGTATGAGTGCGATAGACAATAGGGCGTGGCTTTCGGTTTTCTTCGATGGAGGAAAGAAGAGCGCTTTACTATCAGAACCCAGAAACAAGAAAATGACGGGTATAGGGGATGTGGTCACGAGAATTAGTGCACTGATCCTGTACATGGAAGAGAAGTAGATATAATGAGCGACAGTAGCGCTAACTGGTGTATGGTGGAGTAAGTTAAATTTTTCAAAGTGGGGGTAGTTCTCGCCAAACACGCTATCCCAATGGGGTTCTAGAAGACAGAATTCGTCGGTGCAATGTTCGGAGTTTCGGAAATCTACAATTTGAAAGTAAAATAGGCCGGGGGAAACGGGGTGGGGGGATTAGTGAACAATAAACGATCGTCGAGCAGCGATCGATCAAGCTCGAGACGTTTTAGGAAATATTATAAGCCAGGAACTCAATTCTCAAGTTCATATGATGAACATTCACATGCAAAATGTTTCATGCGAATTTATTCATATGCGAAAAAATATCCGTATGAACTCGAGAATAGGAGCCCAGAGGCTAATGGGGCAGAGGGATCTATTGACATCAAGCGAATGCCGAACAGAAACCGAGTCATGCTTTGGCGAGATGTTACCATTGACAATGTGGTAAATCGTCAGCTGATAATAGATGTGGTAACATTGTAAAGTGACAATCATTAGCGTCGATAACGCAAACTGATTTGCAAAATAATTCGAATAATTTCAGAAAGTGGCGCAACGATCGATTCAACAACTGGCTCTTGTATCAAAGTGCCTTAACATGATATTGTAATTTGATTCTAATATTTTCCATATCACGTTCATATACTGAAACTTTTAAAGCACATATTGTTAAACACAGATAAAACTGAAATTCCTGGTCATTAAGGTCTTTCAGAAGCGGTAGATCCCAATGAAATAGTTGACTTTTCCTTAAAAAGTAAGTAACAAACGCTTTCTTTGTATTTCATAGAAAAGGTTTTCGTGTGTAATATTACCTGAATTTCTTCAGTTCAACCCCTTCAACGAATAGCACCTTTTCAACGACAGGCTTCAGTTGCAGCATAGTATCATATCGATGTTGTTGTTTCTTCAATTCTGTGTCGTACGTTTTCAAACGATCCGGATGTCTCTTAATTTCAGTCTCAAGTTCTTTGATTAAATCCTGTGCTTTATATTGCCCCTGAAATTCACGATGACATAAAGGACAACAAGGATCCCTTTCCTTTAGTTGTTGAAGATACTCCTTATACGTAAGTTCTTGGTAAGCATGCAGTCCTCTTCTGTCTTGCAAATCTTTCACTTTCTTGGATACCAACAATAAAGTTTCATCAAAGTCTTTGTAGTAACATTCCAAAGATATTTTACCTTTGTCCGCTGTACAATACAAAATCAAATATTCCATAAAATTAAAGAAGATGAAATTTACTTCAATGCAAATAAAGCTTATTGATTATAATTAAAATTGAAAGTTAAAATTAATTACATTCTAAATCAGCAAGCTTTTTCTCGAGTTCCTTTTCAGTATGGCTAATCGTTGTTTGTAGAGTCGTCATACAGCACTGCTCTGTTTGAAGCTCTTGATTTAAGTTTTGTATTTGATCAGCCTGTAAGAAAAACCAGTAAATTATGACCTAAAAGAAATATTAATTTCAAGTACAACTAAGACAAACTAACGGGAAAAACTGAAAATTCGAAAATTTTAATTATGTTGTAATAGCATTTCTAATAATAGCACAAAAAATAAGGAAAACATGATGTTAGTGCAGATATAATAACTAGAATTTCCTACTTGAAACGAAAAGAAACGAACTGATGTTTTATTTTTGAATTTCAATTAAGTAGCTTCTAATATCTCACTTGAACACAACACGCAGAATTAAAGTGAATTGCAAATTATACCAGTATTCGTTGGGTCTCTTCAACAGCTGCTTTTATCTTCCGTTGGGGAAATTCCTTATTCCCAAATACCACTTTCAAGTTAGTCTCATGTTTTTTTCGCAAATTATCAATTTCCTTTTCTTTTGAATTCAATGTGCTCTTCTGTAATTCCAATTCGGTTTGAAGTGAAGTCTGTTGTTGCAAAGATGTCACTTCTTTTTCCACTCGCTTTAAAGTGACCGTTAGATTATCTATTTTCTTACTTTTATCTTTTATCTTCTCTTTCACTTCCTCCGTGTCCAAACTTTTATTCAACATATCAATATTAGTATCGGCTACTTTTAATTTCTGCTCTATATCATTTAATTTCTTTGATGCTGCACCAGTCTGATCCACAGCAGAAATGGAAACAAGTATAAACATTATTACTGGTAATAATTAACTATTTTATTTTCAATTTTTTTATTCATCAAGTAATTGACTGCAGATCAAAATATTTATAAAACTAAGTAAGATGATTAAATTAATATAACATACATTTAAGTATGATTTTCACATTAAAGTGTCACATAAAGTAAAGTAAAATAAAGAAGTATTTTAATTATAATAAAATAGGTAACACTTATGAGTTTAAAAATCCTCATGATTGCCCAAAGATTGAATGTTATAAGATTCAATATTAAAGTATAATTATAATAATTTCCTAGTGCCAATATTATTTGCTAGAAAAAAAAAAGCATACCTGTGAAATCTGTGAGCGAATTCTATCGATTTCCTGCCTGGTATTACTTATTTCACCTTCTCTCATTGCCACTTCTGATTCAATTTTCGATTTTGCAGACCGCAGCTCATCTATTTTACTTTGGAACTGTTTCTCCTCTTGATCTTGCTCTGCCTTCTTTTCTTCTACTGAACGCTCCATTTCACACATGCGCTCCTTCAATCTCTTGGCAAGAGCTATGACCTCTATGTACATATGTATACATTACTACATTGTAATAAATTAATTTCCGATTATTGCGAACAAATGTACAAACCTATTTCTGATACATCTGCCTCTACAGTATTCATGTTCCAAGATTTCAATGCATTGTTAAGAAGTTTATTGCGATTAACGATCCTTTTTTCATGATCTTTTACTTGTTGTCTTAACGTTCCAACCAGCAGTCTAGCGTTAACAAGGTCCTTAGCCAAATCAGTCTCCTCTTTAGTAACGTGTTCCAAACTTTTTTCCAGCTAGAATTGAAAATAAAGGAACTTATGAATTTAAACATTTTCAAAGAGATATATCACTTAACAAAATACATTACTTTTTAAAGAATGTATATACTTACACATATATCTTTTTATAAATCAAGCAAAATATTGAAATAGCGTTATAGCAGAATTGTAACTATCAATTTCATTTAATAAATTTTACAAAAAATAATCAATTATAACCGGTTAGTCAAGCATGATCATCATTAAAGTATATATTTGCAATCTAACACTTTAGTTCACAGGTTAATTAAGGTATTAAATTAATTTCATACAATTCAATATATCAAACTTCAATCTCTAATTGAATAAAATATTATTTACAAATAATGCGTAGTAAAAATATTTCAATTATATGGTAGCTACTTTCAACTTTTTATACCAAGGAATATATTTTAGGTGTAAAGGAAAGTTCTGTCGTTTTTTGGACATGTACACTTCTTTAGAAAAAAAAAACCGACAGAACTTCCCCTTACACCGAATACAAATATGAAAGAAACACAATATTAGAAAATTGATTTGCACACCTCCTGTATTTCTTCATCCTTTTTTCTGAGGATACCATAATATGCTGCTAATTCTTTGTTTATATCCTCTGTTGTTCCTTCAAATATATTTATATTTTCCTTCAAATCTTGAATTTGCTGTTTAATAACATCAAATTCCATTTTCTTCTTTTCTGTATGCAAGATATTAAAGAAATATAAAAAATGTCAAACGGTATTAATGTACCACTAAAATGAGAGCGAGTACCTTCCTCCAATTTTGTTTTATCATATTGTACTTGTGTGTTTCGTATATCGATTATTTTCTTTTCAACGGGTTCAAGATCCTTTTCTATGCCTTCTACATCTGCTTTAGATCTTTCATATCTTTTTTTAAAGTCATCTAATGTCTTTTCTTTTGCTTTTGCTTCAGCCAATACTGTTTTAAAAGCATCTTGTTCTGCCTTCAGTACACGGAATTCGCCTTGCGAATCTTTGCAATATTTTCTTATACCCTCAAGTGCTTTATTAAACTTAGTGGTATCAAATATGTCATCGAATCGCTCCTTCAATTTTTTGGCTTCATCCAGGGGCCAGTTGAAATCTTCTTGATGACAGAATATAACGTAATTAAGAATCGGTTTTGAAACGCCCATTGCCCGCACGATTTCAATCGTTATATCGGCACAGCGATTACTTATCATCACATGCTGTATTAAACAAAATATTTATGAACTTACATTGATTACTGGTAGCCTTACCCAGAACAAACTTAGTAATGAAACTATATTAATTAAAAATCATTTTTAATCAAAGTCTGAAAAAGTAATATAAAAGCACATTTAAATTGCATAAAACTATATGTCAAAATCATTCAGGAATCTCAGGTAGATATTTTAGAATGATGTTCTATAATTAAAAATAAAACCTGAATATATTTGCACTATCCTTAGGTTTAAGATCATATGAAAGGCGCTGAGAAATTTAATTGACGACGATAAAATAAAATTCATCTATACCCTTTTTGGTGGTAATGCCGTTTTGAATACTCAAGTGGTAACATAAGCTGGCGCGTCCCATTACCGACATGTATATTTATGTTGAAGTCTTTTACAGTCTCCGTTGAGAATTATACGAAATGAAGAATTCCATGTGTCATTTCCGTAGTGTAATGATAAAAAGATTCATCAAAAACTGTCGAAATCCCATAAATTCATTATTCTAACGACTGTATAGGACCAACATCGCCATCTGTGACGTTTAGCTCCAATTAAATTTCTGCTCCCAAACACGTGTTAGCCACGGGACAAGTCGGCGTTCTCTTGCAATTGTTGGTCAAATTTTTCATATTTTCCCATTTAACTCTGCAATATTCCATTTCTGCGGTATTTTAAGTTGTTCGAGCTAGGTCCTGAAACTCTTCATTTTCGACTCTAAGCCTCCAAGAGGCGTAAAACATTGAAAACATGCACGGACCGCGCCATTATGGTTCTAGTCCATGATAAGTAAATAAATTTTTTATGAAAAATGATATTTCATGAGTTTCAGAACCTACTTTAAGGTCTCCATATTTACATGGTAAAATTTGAAACGAATCGGTACATCTAATTCGGAGAATACTTTCATTAACTATTTGACCTCATAGATATATATGTGCCCATAATTATGAAAGTGGTCTAAGTCAAAATTAAAAAAAAAAATGAGTTTATCAGTTATTTCACGCCATATTATTTCAAACGAAATTAATTCAATGTAATTTCGAAACAAAAAATATATGACTTAGACCACTTTCATAATTATGGGCACATATATAAGTTGACTCTTTCATATGACCTTAACCCTTTGACCGCAAAGAGGATCCAAAGGCCCACGGAGTTCCCGTGGTACGAAGAGAAGCAAAATTCTGCTTGTTTCTTACTACAGCACCATACAATTCACATGTTCTTTCTCAAAGTGCTCTTTAGCTGAGCTACTCATTTTATCATTTATTCTCAATAACGTCATGTAATCTTGAAGTAATATACCCGTGCCTCTACATTTTTTAAGTCTTATTTGATTTTACCAGCAAAACATAATGTACTTTCTTATTACACCACTGCATTGTAATCAAAGAATTTGCATGTGAACATTTTCATTTTTAAAAGCATATATCAATTATTTTATAAACAAAGAGTTACTCTCAGAAGGTTAACATTTGCAAATGTTACGTTATCAATTTGTTCCTGGGTTGAAAATAAAATTAAATTATAAAGGATTATTATCATTTAATTCAATATATGGCCTGATGTGGGCTGAGACCTATTAATAGGGTAAAAATACCTATTTATAGGACAGGTACAGGAAAAAATAGAACCCAATATGTAAATACACTTTACGCGTGTTATTAACGATACTTTCAGGTACATATTATCATTTTTACATAAAAGAAACGGTAGGTCACCTAAATCCCAACTTTGCCGATGAGGCTTTAAAATTATTGAATACTATTGGAAATAAATGAAAACGGTTATTTTTTAGCACATACTCGTTGTGATCCTTCTTTTACAGGCAAAATAGTCTGTAACGATTGGTCTAACTGAAAACTTGTGATAAACAAAGATATGTACCAAAATACGGTTAATTACAATGTATCATAATTTAAACATTTTTAAATGTAAAATGATAAATAATTATATCAATATGTACCTAAAAGTATGATTAATAACATGCTGAAACTGTATTTAATTGTTGTTTCTTTTTGTTTCTTATACCTGTTTAAAGAACCAATAGTTTTAACAATTAATAGGTACGAGCCCCATTAAAGAAATTAAATTTAAATCAATTTTAGTTTACCTCATTAGTAACTTTGTCTCTCCTACTAATGGTATTATCCAAGGTCTTTAATCTAATCAACGATTCATGTTTTGTTGCTACGATCGTCCTGCTTATCGTTAGATTGTCTCCTCTGGTATCTACTATTTCGGCTTTAACCACTCCTTTCACCTATTGAATTTAATAAAAAACGATGTTTCAGAATATATTAACAAATGTAAGAGTATCATATCCGTATAGTAACATCTTGACATGAAACTCACCGAAGAAGATTTAGCGATTGTAGGGTCATGAACGAATGCCTTGCCACCCGAAGAACCAGGTGGAAAGTCTCCTGTCGTTGCATACTTTAATGATTCTATTATTGTCGTTTTACCCGTTCCATTGGGACCCGAAATCAGTGTCAGTGGACGAGCAAAGTGTATTATTTGCGTGTTATCACTTTCATCGCCAAAATTCCGAATTCCGCGTATATGCAGTCGCCGAATTCGTGACATATTAAGTACGCGCCTTCGTTGAAACGTGCCCAATATCAAAAATGTCAGAAAAGACCACTTCCTCAAATAAACTTGCGTTAAAACACTGCAAAAACTGTTTAAACGGAAACTAACATCGACAGACGAATTACATTAAGCAAATAACGAACAGGTTGCGACGGTTACTTCATTTCAGCCGCACCGCTCATTTCCAAGCAGTGTTGCCAACTCTGAGTCTGTTTATTCCATGGACATAATCATAAGGTTTGTTCGCTTTGTCCGCACTTTCTACACTCGAGTGGAACGAGTGTCTCTCCAGCTGCGCGGCGTACTAGCGGCGGGAGACGCGCGGAATTTGAATCACCCAAGGGACAGAATGGATAAGTGAATAAATGTTTATTAACAAAAACATGATGAATGAAAATTATTTAAATATTATTCTAAAGTGTCCCTACCTACTTAATTTAGTTTTTGTTAAATGATTATTTACAGAATTTCTTAAACAATATATTAAAACATGTTATATTAAAAGTTAACAAGTTTCTTAGTGATTTAATTGTTCCATCCACTTAAACGAAGTTAGAATATTATCTTAGCTTAAAAAAAATAGTTTATTAATATTTATACAGAAAATGCTGTAGGAAAATTTACAATGCATCCACTTTCGAACGTAGAAGCGGAATCATGATTTCATGTCTCATATATTTACATTTTACACCTTTCTTCGTATTCTTCAAATAAATGAACGTCTGTAAATCATTAAATGAACACGTAAATGAGTACCCGCAAATATAAGTAAGACTTTTTTATGCGAGTTTTTTATAAACGCAAATCGGAGTAACTTTTATAAATTGAATTCATTCGAAATAAGTATCTAAAACATAAAATACCATTTTTTATTTCGTATTTGAAATAAGAACAATACACTATTATGGATTTCCTATTTTAAATAGATCTTGAATTTATTTCCATTTGAAATTAAATACTTTCAGAGAAATGAGAATGTTAAAAAAGAATCGATCGGAATGGTACTTGTTCTATCAACTGCATCAACTCTCGAAAAAGTTAAACAACACGCATAACGAACGAACGAAATAGCCACTTTCGCAACAACTGATGAAATTAAATTGCTTACTTGTATTTTAAATACAAATACAAGTCATAAAATTATGTGTCCGAATAAAGCATGGACAACGAAGGGTTAACGTTACGAGTAGATGGCACAGTTTATTCAAGACGACAGTTCTCGCGGAGGAGTCGATCCTCCTTTCCCTCTGTCAATTATTCGATAGCGGTCGTCGCAAAATGACAATCCACCGTCCGAGCCGCGGAAGGGGATTGACTACCAATCAGGAGGCTAAAGGATGAGACAACAATATGGCGATCCTACCCCCTCCCTTTCTGACGCGCCAGCTTCCCCCCTTAGTCGAAGATGGGACTTCGGGCTCCATCCATATATTCTTACGTCCATGGTAATAATCATTCGAATCTCGATAGATCTCGAACTGCGAGTGCAATCGAGATTCGACCCTTTGTCTCGTAGCTCGGTCGATAAGCTGGTGGCGAGCCGTTTGTCACATTCTCGTGATTTCATAATACGCCATTTTCTTTGTGTGCGCAGTGTCTGAGCAGCAGAAGGACTCAACCTCGTTACTTTTTTATCATCCTCGAGGTAAAGCATCGCCCAGTTGTCAGGGTTTGGTTCTGGTGGTTTGTTCCGTCGGATATAGTTGTCGTGCAGTGATCGCCTCGAGTGGTCGCGTAACTCGTTACTCCGCCACTTTGTGTGTTGACAGCTTTCTCCGTTCTGTCTTTGCGTTTCGCTCGACGAAATTCTGACGAGTTTCCTTTGTCAACATCGAAAACTGTCTTGCGCCTCGCATGTCCGCGCGATCGGCACTCGTCGACATGTTGAGAGCTTCTTTTCTCGACGGGCCGACTCGTTAATTTACTCAACCGAGGTCCGCCTTTTTTTTAAACAAAGTGCACTGGCGTCATTCAAGGAGTACTTTTCCACTTTCATCACGATGATTCACTAGAAAAAGAATAGGCACACGATTCAAATAGCAAGATCTGATGGATCTTCGCTAATCTACTTCGATAAAGTGCATTTGGAACTAAGAGATTCCGATTGAACCCATAAATTAAAGTAAAGCATCGTCAGGTAATGAACTTTCTGCAAAGTTCAGCAAAAGCTTTGTAACGATCTGTAATATTTCTTTAAGGGGCCTCCCTGGCGTTGACCACCAATGAGTAAGATCTATGGGATTTAAAAAATAAAACTATGTCGTATCAACTTGAATTTTTCTGGGTACATTTAACTACAGTTTGACTTTGATTTTATTTTTTCTAGTAAACATTGAATCGTTCTGGAGTTATATATATAAGTTGTTGAAGTGTTTCTAAAAAAAAGTTTTTCGATGGTAACCTTAAAATTGGCTGTTATAGATGGCTGTGATAAAATAAAAAGATTCTTCGTTTACGTAAGTATGGCTATATATGATACGGGCATTATCTAAAAATGTTGACAATTACTAAAAGGGCAGCATTTGGAAAGAAAAGTTTTAAAGTGAAATGAAAGGGTCATTCTATACATATAAAACTTAAAAATATTTATAAAACTTTTCTCCAAACTGGTTGCATCGAATCATTTGAGACTTCAGCTCATGATTATGAAGGCCCTATGGAAGAACGCAATGCTCGTGAAATTTCATTTTTCACCAAACAAAATGTCATCTTGGTTTTAGTCTAGTTTAAATAAAAAATAGTTTGAAAAACAAAATTTCATAAGCATTGCATTCTTCCTTCGGGGCCTTCTTAATCACGTGCTAAAGTTTCAAACAATTTGGTGCACCCAGTTTGGAGGAAAGTTTTATAAATATTTAGACGTTTTGATATGTATAGAATGGCCCTTTCATATCACCTTAATTTTATGTAAAAGAATAGTTAATTTTTTTTATCGCAAATTTGAAATTTGCATAAATTGAAAAACTTCTGCTTTGAACAAAAATCAGAGATCTACTGAATATAATTGCACAATTTCAAGTGAATTTGATAATTTTTTAGATATTGTTACCATTGCAAAAAATACTGTTTTGAGAAAAACGCATTTAATGTTTTATGTGCATCTGTTTTGTACGCAAAATGTAATTTATAACACACAGCTAATAAGCTTTTTCAGGAATGTAGAAGTAAGACTTTCCTCTTTGTAAAGCTTTTTTGTTCGATCGAAAAAAAATCAATTTTGGCGGTTCTTAACACTCGGGAGGCCCTTCGAGAATAATGGAAAATGATTTTCAGGGGTGGTATTTCAAAGTGGCTCGTAAGTTCTTTTACCGTTTAAAAATATTATAACCTTTTTGGCATTAATCTCTCTTAAACTTTTGTTTCAGGTTTCGAAAGTGTACTCTCTGGAAATTTGTTATGCACGGTATGGCTAAAGACACGATGCAGTTATTCGGGTGTATTTTCAAAATGCAAGTAATTTCGCGAAATGCTGATCTCAATTGGCCTCTTTGTTTGCTCGATTTGATAGCACCAGACTTTTTCCATAGAGGCTATTCAAAGGGTATATGACAAGCCCAGGGACTATCTAGCAGCTTAAGATGATACGAAGGTGGCATCCGAGGGGTTAATCATTTATGTAACTTATCTTTAAACTGGGTGTACCAAATTGTTCGAAGATTTACCACATGAATTAGAGCCTCTAAGGAAGGTCCTAGCCCCTCAAATTTACTTCTCGTTTATTTTTGTTAGAAATACTTTTTCAGTTTTGTATGAAAAATTATATTTCATGAACGTGAGGATCTTTTTTAGGGTCTTCATATTCATGAGGTAAAATTTGAAGTACTTTAGTAACCCAGTTTGTAAAATGTTTTATAAACCACTGACCCCTCGGTTGCTGATTTGAAATGCTCTTAACACGTCTGGCTTCGGTGCTTGAATTACTTCCAGAATGTTGTCCTTAACCCTTTGTGGACGATTGACGCATACATGCGTTCGGCGTAAACCACCATTGAACTGTTCCATCTGCAAAGGGTTAAGGTTATAAGTCGGGTACACATCTGAGCACAAACGCGTACGAGGCAAGGCACAAAGGCATACGAGAGTGGTCAAACAATCGAAGAGCGGTAAACTGTCTCGGACCGTTCGACATACCCACGAAGTAGTATAAAGAAATACAACGCCATGTATTGAAATCGTCCCCACTAGAGGTCTAAGATCTTCAGATTTTTCTGATCTAGTGCCGAGAGCATCCCCTGGATGAAATTGTGCAATTAAAAATTATCGCCTGCTAGCGAGTCCGCTAGTCTTTATTACGTTAAAAACATCACATTCTGGATATCATCGGTGGATTATCATTTCGCTTTGCATACCTTGATTGCAAAATTAAAAGTATTTTAGATCATTTACGTAGGTAGGAAATATTTTGGTCATGTAGGATTGGAGTTCCTTCATTTACCGCAAGTGGCGCTCGCATCGTTAGATTAGCGAAAATCTGAGATCATGGGTCCTGATTCTGGGGTCACTTTCGGTGGAATCAACTATTGTTTTGCCTCGCCTTGCCCCGTATGCGTTCGTGTTCAGATGTGAACCCAGCTATACACATCCGAGTACCAGGCATTCGTTCTGTCTCGTACGCGTTCGAGTTTAGATGTGTACCCGACTATATAAATGTGGCGTCCGAGGGATCTCGATGAAATGTGAAGACCCTGAGAAAGGTTCCAATATCCATGAAATCTCATTTTTTTTTTAAATGTTTTTAAATATTTTTATTTTTTATGAAGATGAAAATTTATCGGTGTCAGGACCCCAGAGCCTCCATGTTCACGTAGCAAAATTTAAAACGATTCGGTACGCCCAGTTTGGAGAGAAAAGTTTTATGAATGGAACCCATGACTACACGTCACTTTCGTATCACCATAAGAACTGTCAGGGAAAGTGCTATAGAAGAGGCCAATTGAAATCATAATTTTTCGAAATTATTCGTTCTTCGAAAATCTGCTTTAGCAGCTACATCATGGCTGCTCCCTCCGCACGAGTGTAAAACATTTCCGAGGAATATATTTTCCAAATGTAAAACAAAAATTTGAGAAATATTAGTGTCAACGAGAATGATTCAATGTTTAGGTAGTATCGCGACTCATGGGAGGAACCCTGTATAAAGTTGCGATAAACGGAAAAAGTTTATTTGATTTTAGAGGTGTAATGTAAAAATATTAATAAAGTACATATAGCATCGGTGCTATCTGCTATGGTTTTTAGTATACGTAAAGAACATATATCGTGCTACACATTCCTCTGCGATTGATTTTATAAGCATTTAACAAGAATAGCATTATCTTTATCTGAACAAAAAAGTGGCATTGGCCATGCAAATGTAATTCTTGTGATTCTGAGTTTTTGTACATCTATAGTGTTCTATAAGACGTCTAATTACATTTCAATCACTTCACTGTGTGCAGTTTTTTTTTAAGAATTATAGAAAACGATAATTTTCAAGATTGATACAATGAATATAAAATTGTAAGGATTGAAGTGAGTTTATTTGACGTTAGAGGTGTAGTGTACATTTTTTATGGTATACTTACAGCAGCAGTGTTGTTTTCTATGACGTTTAAATAAAGAACATGTACTGTGGAAACGTCTCTGTGCAATTGATTTTATGGGCATTTAACAAAATTGCATTTTTGTTTCCATAGGACAGAGTTTTTATGTGTCTGTAATGCTCTATAAGTCAATCTCTGATTAAGCTTCCCTCTCTTTTTTCTTTTTCATTGTGACGATATAAAAGCATAGATCACATTTATACCTAATTGATAATTACGGAATAAAGCAATTTTCATCATAATCATTGATATCATTTTATGCTTCATGATTTTGAGTTTAGAATTAGGAACGAACGATAAAATTGTTATTCGAGGTCATATTTTTGACATAAACAGTCTGGTGAAGAGTGATGATACAGATTTGGAAAAAAAAAACATTACATATCATCTTAACACTTACAAGGAAACATTCCCAAGTGTCCGCCGCCGATCTCACTGATTTTCATATACGTTGAAAAACACGAAAATCTAAGAGATACGTGTTTTTTTTTTTTCATCTGCAATGGTCCACATTTAAGGGGTGAAACAACTCCCCAAAGTGTGGCGAAAATTCGATTTTTATATTAATTTTCGTAGAAGCATTGGAGGGATTTCGACGAAACTTGGCATAAACGTATTCTGTATATGGCTGATGAAAACAATATTGTCCAGGAATGTTATACTACCTCAAAGGGATGAACTGCCCTTTGGACGAAATTTGTTTGTAATATCTATTAAACAAGCACTGCTACTTAAGTTCCACTTACGCCATGTGATTGCTCACAAAAAATGGGGAAATACGTGTTTTTTGCTTTTTGCCAATAAATATTTATACACCGGTTGAAAAGAATGGATGTAGGTGGTATATGGGGATATCCCGACTATCTTTATTGGGTTATATCGTCATCGAATCTGTTGCGAAACAATTTCAGTCTCCTAAAGTGTTTCTTTAATTTATTTATAAATAATTGCGTGTTATAAAAACCAACGACATTTGGGGAATTAGCACGGTTACACGATTTATGTACAATTAATTGGTCACGATATGACTCAACGAAGATAGTCGGGATATACCCAACTACCACCTACATCCATTCTATTCAACCGATGTATAAATGTTTATTGGCAAAAAGCAAAAAACACGTATTTCCTCATTTCTCGTGAGCAATCACATGGCGTAAGTGGAACTTAAATAGCAGTGCTTGTTTAATAGATATTACAAACAAATTTCGCCCGAAGGGTAGTTCACTCCCTTGAGGTGGTGTAGCATTCTTAGACAATATTGTGTTTTCACCGTCCTCATACAGAATACGTTTATGCCAAGTTTCGTTGAAATCTCTCCACTGCTTCTACGAAAATTAATATAAAAATCGAATTTTCGCCAAACTCTGGAGGGTTATTTCACCCCTTAAATGTGGACCATTGCGGATAAAAAAAGAAACATGTGTCTCTTAGATTTTTATGTTCTTCAACACATATGAAAATCAATAAGATCGGCAACGGACACTTGGGAATGTTTCCTTGTTAGCCAACGGAATGGGGAGATCTCCCCGTTTTAAATTATGTCGCTGCACGACCAATCGGGGAGATCTCACATTTTGACCTTAGCAACCCGTTTGAAGGGCGGGGGACAGCGTATGTTAGTTTGGCTTGCCCGAGCGCGGTGGAAGACGTACAGCGGGGGACACGAATGCTTTCCCTGCAAACACGGTAACGGCAATGCATGATGAGAAGGCATTCATGTCGACCAGTGTACAGTTCGCTATGGCGCGCGCGGTTGGTTAAGTGTTAAGGGGATGCGTAAGTGGCATCCGAAAGCTCAATCGTTCATAAAACTTTTCTAAGCACTGGGTGTCTCAAATCGTTTCATACTTTAAAACGTGAAGATGGAGACCCTAAAGTAGGTCCTGAAACTCGCGAAATTTCATTTTTTATAAACTATTTTTAAAATACCTCTAAACAAATTTGAAAAGAATTGAAATTTCATGAGTTTCAGGACCTTCCTAATATGCTCCTCATTCGCGTTGTAAATTTTCAAACTATTCGGTAAATCGAGTTGGGAGAAAAGTTTTATAAACAAAATCTCTCCGATGCCACTTTCACATCACCTTAATATCGCGAAGGTAAATGCAAAGGAGGGTTTAAGTGTAGATTGAAATACCTGTAACCATATGATAAAATAATTGGACACTTTCAAAAGATTGATAATGGTTTTTGAACAGGAAATTGAAAATTAACTATCTGGTTTCCTTTGCAGTATCGTTTTTTCCATACGTAATTGTTTGTTTCATGTTTTGAAATGCCAAAGCGGATAAGCATAGATAAAATTACTTGCGATTGTACACGTCGAGTAATTAGTCTCTTTGCATGCATGCTTTCATTTTATGAAAATCAGAGTGGAAGCACATTTTAACTATATCCTACTTAATGAATGTTACGTATTATCACAGGGTGATTATCAACAAAAGATATCTCATATTTTGTAATGTGATGCAAATGTTGTATACAATGGGTGGTATCGTCATTACTTTACGACGATATTTTGTTTCTGTGACAAACAAATGAAAGGATTTGGTCTAACGTACGATCAAATTTTGTACGAATAGCAGATTAGGTGCGAATAGTATACAGGGTGTCTCAGACCTCACAAACAAGAAACATATGTCAGTAATCTCTATTTAATTCTGAAAAAGAATATTAGGATAAAGTTTCGAAAAGTACACATCTTTGATTAATTTGAAACTTCGTAGATCCATATACTTTGCCCCACTGATTACGAATATAATATTGAAAATTGGCGCAAATGTTATCTTCAAGATCAGAATGATTTTTTATAACATTTAAAAGTTTACATATTTTAATTAGTACAGGTTTAAGAGAAAAAGGTTTCAGATAAAAATTGTACCTTTTGAAAAAATACATCTTTTATGACGTATACACTTTTTTCTAAAACTGATATTTTTCGAGAAAAATGAGATACATTTCTGAAATACAAAAGTAGTTTATATAACTAACCTAAACTACCCCGATCCTGATATACTACCTATATCCTGACACCCCTCTCTCCCGTTCTCCCGTATTTATCATATAAGGATCTCCGACTACAACTTTTATCTGACGCTTTTTCATCCTAAACCTTTATTAATCTAAATAATGTGAAACTTTGCAAAAATAATTAACAATCATTTTCCCCTTGGAGACAATATTTTTGGCCGATATTCCCTTTAAAATTCCCGTTTCAAATTAATTGGAGGTATGCGCTTTTCGGAATTTCGCCCGAATATTTAACGCAAACTTGAATCCGAATTGTAGTTTCGAAATTAGAGTAGTTTAATGTTAACCCGTCACCAAACAGGATGAATCGCCGAACAATGCCTGTACAAGCATCTCATTATCCGTATCATCTTGGGGTTCAAATCTCATTTTCGTGTGAGCTCGCATTCGCAGTCTCTTCTAACGTAATAAAATTTAAGAATCTAGCGAACAAATCTCTTTTGTCTTTTGTACCGGCACTGCTCGGTGGTTAAACCTGCTTCGTGTTTGGTGACCTTTAACACGTTGGACGCAACGCCGATTTTACGTGCCGTTCCGCTCACGCCACAATTAGCCGTCAAGCGGACCCTTTGGGGCCGCTCGCCGGTAGGTGCAAGTACGCAAGGACCGACACGCTCGCGGCGATAACAAGAACGAAAAGTCTGCCGCCGGCGAGGTCTGAACGGAAAGTCTAGCGCGGATCCCTAGGGACCGGCGAGGCGTTTTAACGTGTTAAGGTGAAGTCAAACACGTCGAGGAACTTGATCGACGTCGATAAAGAAGATTTTTCTAAATGCCTACGTTGCCGACGTTCGTTTTTATATCGACAGCTGGGTCGAAGTATATTGGGTATTGTCCCAAACGGCATACTCCACCTGTCGTTTACGTACAATGATTATAAAGAAATCGAAGTAAAATTCCAGAAATCCTCTGGATTCGTGCTTCCCGGGGCCCTAATTGACTGCCGAGGGACTCCCTGCGCCATCTGTGATTTCCAGGTCAATTAAATTTCCCCTCCAAGACCTCGTATTCCCATCGTTTTAGCATAGAAACGCATACAACACTTTTTTTGCCTTTATCCCGTTCAAATGCGAGTTAACGATTACCAGAGTGTTCTAAATTGTCGTAAAATTGTCCTGACTCTTTCGATTTTCATATCAGAGCGTTCGATAATTGTATATTGATCGAAATATGAAAACTTGACGCCATTTTGGTTCTGGTCTGGGCTGAGTTAAACAGTTTTTTTAAAAAATCCAAATTTTGAATGTGCCGGGACAATTCTTAGATGATCAGGAGTGATGTGTCAAAGTTTTGGACAGTTTGGTCTAATGCCCTTAAGAAAAAGTGTTGTATTCGAATCGACTGATTTGAAGGGGGTTTCACTTCACCTTAACACGTTCAATCCGGCGTGAACCACCGGTGGTTCACAGGCATTGCTTTCATCTGGCGGCAAAAAATGCGCCGGGTTGAACGTGTTAAACTACTGTAGCTTTGAAACTACAGAGTCGTTCCGCTCACGCCACAATTAGCCGTCAAGCGGGCCCTTCGGGGCCGCTCGTCGATAGGTGGAAGTACGCAAGGACCGACACGCTCGCGGCGATAACGAGAACGAAAAGTCTGCCCCGCCGGTCCGTACGGACCGGCGAGGTCTGAACGGAAAGTCTAACGCCGATCTCTAGGGACCGGCGTGGCGTTTAACGTGTTAAACTACCGTAGCTTTGAAACTACAATCAGGATTCAAGTTTGCGTTTGACATTCTTTTTCAGAATTAAATCGAGATTATCGTCATGTATTTCTTGTTCGTGAGGTCTGAATCACCCTGTATAATGAGATTCGATTTTCATCGTTGGTAAAGAATGTAAGGTGATACGAAAGAGTCGGCATATATATGACGTATATATGTATATGTGTATGTGGGCGCGTATATATATACACATGTATGTATATAAGGTCAAATCGTTGGTGAAAGTATTCTCTGAAATGAGTGTACCGATTCGTTTAAAATTTTACCATATGAATATGGAGACCCTAAAGTAGGTCCTGAAACTCATGAAATTTCAGTTTTTATAAAAAAAACTTATTTATTTATCATGGACTAGATCCAACATGGCGTGGTCCGTGCACGTTTTCGATGTTTCACGCTTATTGAAGGCTTAGAATCGAAAATGAAGAGTTTCTGGACCTACCTCGAACAATTTAGATTATCATAGAAATGGAATTGCTGCGTCAGAGTGGAAAATGTGGGAAATGCTTTCACCAACGATTTCAAGAGCTTGTCCCGGGGCTAACACGTGTTTTTAGAGGAAAAATTTGGTTGCAGCTAAACGTCACAAATGACGCCATTGGTCAGTTCTAACATAAAAAGTCATATTCACGGGTTTTTGACAGTTTCACATTGATCTCTTTATCATGACTTTACTGAAATGACATATGCAACCCTTCCTTCATTACGTATACTTCTCAACGTAGTCAAAAGACTTCAACATAAATATACGTGTCGGTAACGTGACGCGCCAGCTTATGTTTGCGACTTGAGTACCCAAAATGGGGTTCCCACCGAAAAGGGTACCGATGAATTTTATTTTATAGACGTCCATTAAATTTCTCAGCACCTTTCATATCACGTCAATGTCCCGAGTTATGATATTTGACTCGCTCTTCGAACAGTTAAAATAAACCCTTTCCACTCCAGTGTCGTCTTTGCGGTGACAATTTGACTGGCCCAAGAAGGAGTGCAAAGGGTTAATGCCGTAACAAGGCTTAAGTGGAACTAAGTTCTAGTTAGGTGCCGGAAACACTTACTTTTATCGTCCAAATGAATAGATATCATGTGGATGTTATAATTTTCAGCTGAGAACACAGAATGGCATCGCGCAAGAAAGTGCTACTTAAGGTTATCATTCTGGGCGATTCGGGTGTGGGGAAAACATCCCTCATGAATCAGTACGTCAATAAGAAGTTCAGCAATCAATACAAGGCAACAATAGGTGCTGATTTCCTTACCAAGGAAGTGATGGTCGACGATAGGATAGTTACGATGCAGGTGAGATGATTAACCACTTCTTTACTACACTAATCTCTTATTAAGTATTCTTAAGGTCAAGTGACATTTCCATTAAATCAGTCAATTCTAATAAAACACTTTTTTTTTTATGGGTATTGCATCGAACTGCCGGAAACATTAGCACGTGACTCGTGAGCACTTCAGAAATCCCCCGACTATTACAAATTTAGATCTACAAAAAAAATTTCGACAGCCTAGGCCAGAACCAAAATGGCGTCATGCTCTTATATTTCGATAAATATATGCAGGGTTGATAAAAATCATGATTTCTTTTAAAAAAAAATCAAAGTTCGTTGATTATTTTTAAATCATGATTAAAATCACGATTTTTTTTAATGCCTCAATTATTTAAACAAGCCCCTCATTTAAAGGATTTGGTACCATTAGGTTTTTGGTACCAAAGGATTAGATACCATTCCTTGTAAGGAACCTTTAGATTGCCGTAGTAATTAATCTTACCTAGAGAGTGAATTTTTCCCTCAGCGTGACTGTTTCTTTTTTCAGATCTGGGACACGGCGGGACAGGAGAGATTTCAGTCATTGGGAGTCGCCTTCTACAGAGGCGCAGATTGCTGCGTTCTGGTATTTGACGTAGCAGCACCTAGTAGCTTCAAATCATTGGATTCGTGGAGGGATGAGTTTCTCATCCAAGCATCTCCGCGAGATCCAGACAACTTCCCCTTTGTTGTACTTGGAAACAAGGTCGATCTTGAGACAAGAGCGGTGAGTTTTACGTACAATTTCGCCGGGTGTACAAGTTACCAACAACCTTTAAGGTGAAGTGAAACACGTCGAGGAACTTGATAGACGTCGATAAAGAAGATTTTTCTAAATGCCTACGTTGCCGACGTTCGTTTTTATATTGACAGCTGTGTTGAATTATATTGGGTATTGTACCAAACAGCATACTCCACCTGTCGTTTTTGTACAATAATTATAAAGAAATCGAAGTAGAACTCCAGAAATCCTCTGGATTCATGCTTTCTGGGGCCCTAATAGACCGCAGAGGGACCCCCTGCGCCATCTGTGATTACCAGGTCAATTAAATTCTCACTCCGAGACCTCGTACTCCCATCGTTTTAGCATAGAAGCGCATAAAACACTTTTTTTGCCTTGATCCCGTTCAAATGCGAGTTTATCGATTACCAGAGTGTTCTAAATTGTCGTAAAATTGTCCTGACCTTTTCGTTTTTCATATCGGAGCCTTCGATAATTTCGATAAATTATATATTGATCGAAATATGAGAGCTCGACGCCATTTTGGTTCTGGTCTGGGCTGAGTTAAACAGTTTTTTTAAAAAATCCAAATTTTGAATGTGCCGGGACAATTCTTAGATGATCAGGAGTGATATGCCCTTAAAAAAAAGTGTTGTATTCGAATCGACTGATTTGAAGGGGGTTTCACTTCACCTTAAAGGGACATGAAAGACGCCAAGAAATGTAATAGACGTCGGTACAAAAGATTCTTCTGACCGATTTACCATCTGAATTGGCAAGCGACGTTACCAACATTTTTATACTGACAGTTGTGTCGTACTCTACTGAGTATTGTATGGAATGGCATACTCCATATGTCGTTTCGATAGAATGATTATAATGCGAAGTCAAACTCAAGAAATCTGAATTCGTGATTTTTGATATTCTAATCGACTGTGGCGCCATCTGTTACATTAAGCGGCAGCCGCTACTAGTGTTTTTAACATCTCGAGAATTGAAGCTCGAGTAGTATAACCGAGAATATTACGGTAATTTATAAATTACGGTGTAGGATTCATAAATCTTAGAAGAATTTATGAGAATATGATAGAACTGAAAGAATTTATATTTAAATTAAGCTTTTCGTAATAATGTATTACATTTGACAGTATCAATTATATTTTTAAGAACTATAACCAATCTGGTTCTTAAAATTAAATATCTCTTACCCAGTCTGTTCTGTCATTATTTGTAAACAATATAAGAACATCTCCAACACGAGTTAAAAGTGTTGGTTGCTAGCAAAGGAACGCTAACCGTATATCTTTGTATTCATATAAACAATCACTTAAATTTTTGCTCTAAACGCACATGTTAGTCACGTGACGAGCCAGCATTTTCTTGCAATCGTTGGTGAAAGTATTTTCCATATTTTCCCATCTGACTGTAATATTCCATTTTTACGGTATTCTAATTTGTTCGAGCTAGGTCCTGAAACTCTTCATTTTCAATTATAAGCCTCCAAGAAGCGTAAAACATTAAAAACGTGCACGGACCACCATTGTTGGTTCTAGTCCATGATAAATAAATGAACTTTTTATCAAACATAAAATGTCATGTGTTTCAGGACCTACTTTGGGGCCTCCGTATTCACGTAGTAAAATTTGAAACGAATCGGTACACCCAATTCGGTGAATACGTTGACCAACGATCTGACCTCTCAGATATATTTAGGCTGACTATTCATATCAGCTTAAGTATATGACTTATTTACACTTTATCATTTTACTTACAGGTATCGAGTAAGAGGGCGCAACAGTGGTGTCAATCCAAGAACAACATCCCTTACTTCGAGACCAGTGCAAAAGAGGCTATTAACGTTGAGCAGGCTTTTCAAACGATAGCTAAAAATGCTTTAGCTCAAGAGAGCGAGGTTAGTTAATTGTTCATGTTCTGGTTTGTTAAAGTGTTCTCTGTAGTTCTTTGGTGTTTGATTGAACACATGAATTCACATACAGTTGCTCGTCGATCCATAGAGATGATCGGTATTATCATCTTATTGTAAATGAAATCATAAGCATAGACAATTTTCTTATTTATTTTGTTTAGTTTCAGTACCTGTAATACAGATAATTAAGGGGGTACCTTATATCATTGTAGCTACTATAAATATTAGAAGAATTGAAAGAAGTTCATCATAGTCGTTATTTTGTATTTATGTTAGATTGATGGAGAAACAGAGTACAGTAGAAGCTGTACAACTACCAAGCCGATCAAATAACCGGGTTTAAAATTTTGATTGAAAGCCACTTCTCTACGACGTTGACTGGGTAAAAAAACCGCGAGGGGAGAGAGATATATAACGCAAAATTGATTTAATATTTGTTAAAGGAAAAGTAGTGAAATCAGTTAAGGGAAAGCAATAATTTTGAAGGAAAATTGTAGAACCTGTCATTTGACCGGCTTGGTAGGTTTAATGTTAATCTCGGCCTATTTCGTTTATTGTTTCTATGATTTGTACCAACTTAGTCGGGGACAAGTAATGGAAGTAATATCGGTGTAGCTATGTTTTGATAATCTCGTGATTTTTCCAGGTGGAATTGTACAATGAGTTCCCGGACCAGATCAAGTTGACGAACGACCAAAGGGGTAACGGTAAAGGCGATTCCTGTGCCTGTTAGTTCGCGGATTGATGGAACCACGAGCGAGTTTAAAGAAACGAAGGTCAGATCGTACACTCCGCGAGAAGGAAACGCGGAGTAATTCACCGAGAATCGCGCATAGCGGCTGGAAGTGTCTCCTCGAGGAGCCTAAAGAGCGCTTCTTGGGGTCTCATATCTCCTTGAGAGCCGAATTCGTTGAGTTCGCAGTGCAACTTCAAGAACTCGATTGCGCCCTTCCTGACTCCTTCAGTTTTCGCTCCCGAGGAACTTCTTCGTGCGGTGCAATCAAAGGAACCGCGGATTAATGTATATACATGGGCGCATTGTAGGAAAGGTTGAACCTGTCTTTTCTTTTAACTCGTTTATAAAGGAAATTCATTAATTGCCGATTCTTCGCGCAGAATACGTATGATCGCGAACCGAGGGACGTTTGTGAGACTTTCCGATTGACGGCGGGGTCGGCGCTCTGTCCATGATGATACCGACGATTCCATTAAAGATTTCATTTCAAGATTCAACGGTCTACCTGGCACTCTTCCAGGACTAAATTAACGTTCCATACTCGAAATACCAAGTAGCGTGCACGTCCTTTGCGTAAATTGCTACCACTCCCGTTAGTTCGATCATTTCCGTTTCCTCGACACATGATTTGAGATGCCGAGTATAAGAGTAGGGCAACCAACAACTGTATATTAGTGTCTCAATTTGTCACCATCAGTTTTAATAGATTACTTTCAGGAAAACTTGTGATGACTCAGTACCTTGTAGATGATTGTTGATGAATTTAACGTTGTATCTTGCGACACCTCGAAGAAAACCTGCGGATGTATAAAAAGTATACAATTGTTATTAACACGAGTATATGAATTATATAAGAATGTAATATTGCTACGTTACAATGTATAAGAGCCTTTCATATATACATGTATATCTTTTCTTTGATTTAAGGCGTTACCTTGTTTAATCGATTGAAGTTATTAGCTTTTATATGGTTAAAGTTTAGAGCGTTCTTTCAATACTTTTTATACCATTCTTCTTACCTGGACATATTTTATCGGCGATCGAAAGATATTTTTTAATTCGTTTCGGGCGAATTAATAAATATTTTTCATCGTGTCAACTGAGTATGTAAGGCAATAATAAAGATACCTTGGTATGGGTTGATTCTGAAAAGGAACTGCGCACCTCTTGTTGCCAGGACAGGCATTTATACAATTACATCGCTTAATTCTTTCTCGAAAGCCAAATCTACGTTGATATAATGTCAGCCACACGAGCCTTAACTTCTTCAGGGTAAGGGTACATCGAATTTTATGGCCAACTTGTGCGCTCAATTCATGCAAATGATGGCACCAAACTAAATCAAATATCCCCATTCATGAATAATGTGATTACATGTATGGATAAGGAGAAATTGATACGGTCATGATAAGAGAACTTTTGTTCAAACTTTAATCAATTGCTATGTTATATGCATCAGTATCGAACTTATCGAATGATTTGTTAATGTATCATTAATTCACACGAAGAAGTAATATTTTTAAACGTGTGTTTGTAGAACGTTCTAAATTTTGATCACGTCTAGTTGTTAAATATAATTATTCTACATCACCGCTTTATATTATGTTTACAAGAAGAAGCTCGGTTATTTAAACATTTTTTTAAGAAACAACGTTTTCGAAATATGGAAACTGTACACAAGATACCGATCGGTCGCGTCGAGGAAATTTTCGCAACAATTCTAAACCTTAGAGATTGTTTTTGAGAACACTTGCATGGTCCAACTGCCACTCTTGCTAATATTATAAACAGAGTCGTGATCCCCGTCGTCATTGAGCGTTCTTTCCGCAATAAATTACAAGTCGACAAAATAAAAAGTGGCGAATTTTCATTACATTGTAAACGTTATCGATAGGAAAGGAACATGTATACAACTCTCAATTGTACAAGTTTGACGTACACGAAGTAGCGGTGTAAATTGTAAATGTAACATTTTCTATCTGCAGTCCAAAACTTACAGAAATTACGTTTCAAGTCGAGCGCGGCATGAATTGTAGAAACATTCACGGCTGTCGTATCTCAAACTTGTACATTTGTATGCTTGAACTAGCAAAGAATTTAAATGTAATTTAATCATAATTGTAAGTAATTAGAACGTAATTTCATGATTTACAAAGATTATATGAAAGCAGGAAAGAAGTAACTATCTATTTTACGTCTCGGTGAAATTTAAGAAGATAATTTATCGAAACGTAGGAAATGTTATTAAACATTTATTTACCCTCAGAGTACAGAATGTTCTAAAATGCGGATGAAATTATGTTCTAATTAGCTAGTGACGTAATGAATCATGCGTTTCTGTATCTTGGTTCAAAATCCTATTATAGAGACAGAGAATGTTATAAGTAACAAGTCTGCCAGCATAGAGGACTCGTCACTCGTCCGTTCTCTCATTTAAACCGACGTTTTCTCGAGGAATGCATTTCTAATTATACGAAACGTTGACTTGTAATTCTATTGTTTCAAAGAGGGAATTCGTTAACCCGCTGAGGTTAACGGAGCAAACACGAGGTGTAACATTTCATTTCCATTAGTACAATATACATACAAATAGATATTATATATATATATACATATTTAACGTTGCACCCAGCGGGGTCGATGTCTCGTATTCATGGGGAGAGTACGATGTGATGTCAATGGAGTCAGTTTTTTTACAAGCCGTGACATCTTCCTTCCATTCCCTGCACTCTGTTTGCTCCCTCCTACAGTGGTGATGAAAATAATACATTATATGGGCCGGTTGCATATACAACCTCGATATCGCTAATTCAAATTAATTGATTTCAATGATTCAAATTTAATCATAGGTTGACAATCTCTATTGCACCGACGAATATTCAACAAAGATCAATTAATATTAGACAACGGACGCATGCGAAGTGTTTGGTGTTTTCTGATTGGTCGGAAACGATTAATATTTTTATATATGATGTACTGCTTGTCAACCTAACTTCATTAACGTAGTATGATTTACGTACATTGGGAGACATCAATGCCTTCCCATCCTGCACAGGCGATGCCGTATCTGCAGGGGAGACATTCACGTCCGCCATTGTACACTGGGAGACATCAATGCCTTCCCATCCTGCACAGGCGATGCCGTATCTGCAGGGGAGGCATTCGTGTCCGCCATTGTACATAATATACAGCGGCGGCACTGTATTCCCAGTTACAGCATTCGCGTCCGCCAGTACTAAATAAAGTAGAAGCGAGTAAAAGAAAATAGAGAATTAATCGACATTAAAATGAGCGACAAACATGAGAGGTGCCCAAATTATTCTGCTAGATGTATCGAAACTTGTGGCTTCATTCGAGGCAGACATTTCTTACAAGTTTTTGTTTATCTTCACGTTTTATTTATAACTCACCCATTATTGGGACTTACCGTTAGATATTACAACTGAAGGGTACCCTGTTATTTATTTCAAATTTATTTAATAATGACCGTATTTAACATTTTTTTTTTTTCAATTACCTACATCATATCTCACAATATCCTTTTCTTCGTGCCCTATAAATACTGCTTGCAACGCCATCGCTTATCAGTTTTGACACTATTTTAATCTTGATAGTGTTAATCGAAGGAGCTTGAGTGATTAGCTAATAACAGTTTCATAATCCTCTGTTAGTTATATTCAGAGTTGGTGCAACGAAAAATTTCTTAATTCGTGATTAGTTAATTACAGCTAATTAACAGTACACTAATCATAGTTGGTGCAACCGGCCCTTATGACTTCTTTGCACTAAAAACCTGCATTGAACATTTTATTTGTTCATACGTTCAACGTTAAACTCTGACTTGCGTCGTTGCAAGGATAATCTTATGGTTCGCGTACTGTTAGTTGTCGAATGATTTGGTAACATTGAAATTCCTCATAAAAACATTTTTTAGGAATAAGGTATTATGCAAGTGTCATATATCAAAAACTCAAAATATTTATAAAACATTTCTCCAAACAGGGTGCATCGAATAATTTGAAACTTTAACACCTGACAATAGAGGTCTCAATAAAGGTATTATAACTCGTGAAATTTTATTTTCCGAGAAAAATGTTAGTTATCCCGGGCAAGAACCAAAAAAGACTTCCATAACCATGTATTAAAGTGTTAAATGATTTGGTGCGTTCAGTTTGGAGAAAAAAAATATAAATATATTGATGTTTCTATATATTATATAATATATATTATAGAATATATTATATATGTATGTATGTATATAGGATGACTCTTTCATATCACCTTAAAGTGACGTGAAAGGGCATCTGAAGGGTCAATTCGTTTATGAAACTTTTCTCCGAACTGGGTGCACCGAATTGTTCGAAACTTTACCACGTGAATATGGACGCTTTAAGAAAGGTCTTACATCCATGACATTTCATTTTTTTTTTATTGTTCATAAATAATTTCTTAATTTTGTATAGAAATGAAATTGTATGATTGTCAGGACCTTCCTCTGGGTCTTCAAATTCACGTGGCAAAATGTCAAACTATTCGGTACACCGTTTTGAGATAAGTGTCATAAACGAACAACTCCTCAGATTCTTCTTTTACATCACCATAAATACTTATGAAATATCGACAACTTTAAAAATCCTTGTAGTCTTGAAAACCCTGAACGCTCTGACATCTTTAACCCTTTCGTTACGAGCGCCACTTTAGTCGGTAACAAATTCTGCCATATCTGTAGAGTATCTTTTGATTGTATTCATCTGTATTTGATGTATCATCCTAAAAGTACATTTTGATCATACGTAACACATTTTGGCAATCGAGACGAGCCGAGAAGACCAGCTATTGGGATAACTTTTAATTTCTTAAAAGTTTCGAGGTTATACTTTTATTTGGAAATTTAATAATGGAATAATACGACAAAACAGTTGTTATTTAACACATGGAAAAAGCGTACATACAAAAGGATGTCAAGAAGGCGTTGTTCAGGTGGAAGACGTAAGTTCGAACACCGATGACTGCCGACGCAGAATGTCCCAGTGAACACTGTTATATAACTGTTGGATAAATGTTACGTTTTCGAAACTAACATGTTATGTAGCAAAAAAGTAACATGGAAGTTAGATGTTATTATTTCCCACTCAGTAAGGTAACATGTTATGTAACATGTTATATTAATGTTATAATTTCAGTTACCTTAAAATAATATTAATGTTTCATACATTTAATAAAAAAGAAATAGCGCAATTTTATCCAAAATTATATTATTTTTTATTTTTAATTATTCTCTGGTATTTGACAATAGTTAGATATTAAATTACAAATCAGATTCGACTAGCAAACATCGACTGATAATGTGTATGCACGTATGAATTAAAGTCACATTTTTTCATACGAGTAGTGAACAAAATATGACATATATTAATCTTATGACATTTGACGATGAGTTATGACAATGACGATGACGATGATATAATACAATAATTGACAGCACCAATGTAGTGCCGTTTTGTTACAAATATGTGCTGCATATACACAGTAATATCAAGACAGTAACATAATGTAAGATGAGAGTAACAAAGTTATGCTACATTTATATAGATATGATAGTAACAAATGTTATGTAACCTGTTAGCTCCATGTTACTTAACCGTTAAGTTACTGCATTGTAACAAATGTCACGTAACTAGTTAGCTCTACGTTACGTAACTGTTAGGCTATTACATTGTAACAAACGTTATGTTATTTGTTAGTTTTACGTTGCGTAACTGTTAGGTTTGGTGTTCAGTGGGAAACTATAATTTCATTACATCGGAATCGTGCTTTTAAGGGAGCTTGTTAGTCTAGACAGCTAAAACAAGTCATTTATCAGAATCTTTTTTGTTGAATCAAATTATTTTCTTGAAGTAGAAGTTTGCTCACTGTAAAGTACCTGATTTCAGGTGTACGTTTTATTTTTTTTGTATGAAAAAAAATTGGAAATGAAGCGGGCTATAGCCGTTGATATAAAGCATTGCGCCAAAAGCGCACTTGGCGGTGTGCAATATAAGTTAATTTCTGGTTGACCCAAACTAAAAAACACAATGGATTCTTGAAAACCAATAGTACAAGCTCTCTTTTCGTCGATATGGAATATCGAAAAAAAAAGAAATTAATTACAAAACTGACTACTCAAAGTTCACGCATGTTCCAGTAAAAAACGCCGCTGGTTTCTGTGCTTTCTTGTGCGCCTCCTGAAAATTCCATTATGAATATTCAGGGTTAGGAAGGGTTATGCCAAGATGAGTGTCTAAGCCAAGATACGTTCGCGAATATGGAGAAAGGAATTCGCAGATGGCAACATCGTCTTAAGGTGAAGTGACCCCCCCCTCAAATCAGTCGATTCTAATACAACACTTTTTTTTAAGGGTATTAGACCAAACTGTCCGAAACTTTAACCCTTTCTCTACGGCAGTCTGCTCCGTCGGAGTGACACCGTTGAACGGGCCACCGTGCCGCCGGAGTAGCGGCACTGAACGGAGCACTGCGCCGAAAAGTGTGCATGTTGCGCTTAGGTAAACTGGTGTTCGGACTTACATCTTTCGGTGCAGCTTCGTCATTCTCCGGATCGCACGATTCTTTAAGTATTATACAACAACATATTTGGAGATTTTGCAATTATTATCAATAAAAACATCGCGGATGTCATGGTCAAGTGGTATCACGCGGATGTCGTCTATAGGCGGCGCTCGTACATACAGGTCGTCGCGCGGATGTCGTCTATAGGCGACGCTCGTACACACAAGTCATCGCGCGGATGTCGTCTATAGGCGACGCTCGTAGCGAAAGGGTTAATACATCACTCCTAATCATCTAAAAATTGTCCTGACGCATTAAAAATTTGGATTTTTCAAAAAAACTTTTTAACTTAGCCAAAACCAGAACCAAAATGGCGTCCAGCTCTCATATTTCGATCAATATACAATTATTGAAGTCTCTGATATGAGGAACGAAAGGGTTAGGACAATTTTACGACAATTTGGAACACTCTGGTAATCGATAAACTCGCATTTGAACGGGATAAAGACAAAAAAAGTGTTTTACGTGCTTCTATGCCAAAACGATGGGAATACGAGGTGTCGGAGTGAAAATGTAATTAACCTGAAAATCACAGATGGCGCAGGGGGTTCCTCTGCAGTCAATTAGGCCCCCAAAAAGCATGAATCCAGAGGATTTCTGGAGCTTTACTTCGACTTCTTTATAATTATTGTACGAAAACGACAGGTGGAGTATGCCATTTGGTACAATACCCAATATAATTCGACACAGCTGTCAATGTAAAAACGAACGTCGGCAACGTAGGCATTTAGAAAAATCTTCTTTATCGACGTCTATCAAGTTCCTCGACGTGTTTCACTTCACCTTAACCGCGGAGAAAAATCGCTACAAAAGATTGCCACTGGGAACCTGAAAACTTAGCCGTATTCCAGACACAAGTTATTAAAGGGTTTTAAAATAGTGTCCTGGTATACGATACTTATTTATATTCGGAAGATTAAAGATGGGAATAGATAGAAAGTGTACAACACGCGTAGGGAACTTGGACTATGTATGATGCAAAACGAATTTTTCAAAGTTCGCTACGGAGAGAACTTGAAGAGAGTTCGCGCGAGGGACATAGAACAAATTTACCACTGGAGGAACTGAATGAGATAGAAGTTCATATCGGCCGCGCCTGAAGATTTATAGTCTTTCTAGCAGCCCCCCCCCCCATTTCTGGGAGGTTATACTCCCCCCTACCTTCAGCGACCCCACCACCACAGGGGGCCCGAAGGCCCAAGACGGGCTGGAAAAAACCCGAAAGCTCCGGACCGCTCGTTCAAACCCCGGGGAGGCGCAAGCCGGGTCGGGGCCTCCGCGACGCTGTCCCCGAAGGGAGGTCGCTTCACCCTGCCCGTTGCCCGCGGGGAACTCTGTGGAGGTCCCTCCCCTGCACTCACGTGGTGCGAGCATTCGTGCAAGGCGCCAGCTGAGACGTAATGCTCCAGCGTGGTTTCGCGAGTTTTCCAGGCTAGGTCGGATGGGAACCCGATCCATCGGCCAAGATAACCCAGCGAATATTCGGATCGGTTATCCCATCTATCGGCCCGTACTAGCTCGCTGGCCTTCTTATTACGGCCGATGTTGTACCCCCAACCCGCACCCGGAAATCCGGGACACGGGACGGGTTACCCGACGCACCCCGGCCGTCCGGTCGAGAAGTATTCCCATGACGAGGGCCACTTTTCGCCGGTAATTCTAGGGGGAACAAGAGTGCGGTCAAACTCCGCAGAGCGAGCATCTGTCATGATTACCCAGTAGCCATTTGCCGTTTCGTTCCGGACCCATGGGGGCCCGCATCCAGTCTCCACGACGAGGAGGTTTACGGATGGCTCTTGGACGCGTGGGATTCCACCCCACGTCGTTGCCTTTCGGAGGCCGGACTGAATGAGATAGTCGTTACTCTACAATCAACATTATTAACGGAATCCTGAAAAGAGAAGACATCCTAAATCTCGCCGCCCGGTCGCACCGGGATCGCCAAATTTAACTCTTTCGGTACGAGCGCCGGATATATCCGGCATCCATGTGACAGCCTGTATGCACACGCTATGTGTGCATTTTCGGAGCGACGCCTCGTAAAGCGAGAGTTCACGACGGACAGAGCGCTCGTACCGAAAGGGTTAATGAAGGTTCAGGTTTTCCCGGTGTTTTAGTTAGTTCACGGAGGAACGGCAAGATAGAGGGTGGTCTGCGAAGTTGTATAACGACAATCATTTGTTTGTTTAACGGTAACGGGGCCGTAACAATGACTAGCGAGTTTATGTGAATTTTTAGATAGTGACAAAGAATGAACGCGTACAGCGGAGGACGCGAATGCCTTCCCTGCAAACACGGTAACAGGAATGCATAATGGGAAGGCATTGATGTCGGCCAGTGTACAGTATTCTTGATTCTTTCGCGGAAGGCGAGACACTACGAATTAGTCGAGATGCTATCGAGGGATTCGCGAGATGTTGACGACAAGGTTTGACGATCGCGACTAAGGCAGATTTCTCTTCCCTCTTGTCAGCGAAGAAAACGCCGTTAACAACGTCTTGAATTAGAAGTCGATTAAGGTCGAATCTCGAAGATACCGCGGACGCGTAGAGTCTCGCGGGAAACCGAAGGATTTTCATTCAAGGAATTTCGAAGGAAATTCAAAATGTGGTGGAACTTTTCTTGAAACTTTCAATACTCAAGACCAATTTTGTACATAAAATTCTTTTCGGCAAAGTCTTTTCCACTTTACATAAACTTGTCATCACTTGGGCTGTAACACTGGTGATTATTACAAAATCAATCTTGCTGCATCCAAAAAGTTCCTTTACTAAGAGGAATTTAAATTGCCGCAAGTAATTACATTCACCTAGAAAATAAATTTTTCTCTCAGTGTACGTTGCAATTGTTTACCAAGCAGTATATATATGTTCAACAACAGTAAATGCCCCTACAATTGATCGAGTCTACGTATGTTTCAATTTACGTCACATAGGTATACATATCTAAATATAGTAAACGAAGTACAGTAAACTCTATGAGGAAAAAAAGTGATGTCCACATCGAACAGGTGAGCATACTTACGTGAATCTGGATTATAGGGGATTCCCGTTAGCTTCAATATGTGTGCAGTCCCCACTTGTGCAAGTATCTCGGAGTATACCAGTTAGTGTTTTTTATCTTTTATATCTTCCTTATCAGAGGTAAAAATACGGAGTCTTAAACCGTAGGTATGCACAGATATACTCGCATGTATGTATGTATATATAGGGAACATGCCGAGCAAGGAGCCAATGTGCTTTTCCTCTTACAACTCGACACATCACAATTCGCAAGATTAATCTTTGCAAAGTTCAAGTCTGACTCAAGCTACGATATCACGGGAAAATGAAGCTCTTTGTCTTCTGCATTTTCGCTGCACTTTGTGGCATACAGGCAAGTCTTAATTTTTAGTATTCTATTTTAATCATTTTGCTCCGCTCGATATTACTGTAATTGCGCATGCTACTTCCGTGCATTTGAGGCAAAACTCTACCGAGTTTCCTGATTACACTATTTGTTTTACACTTTAAAACACGTAGTGGGGGTCTCCAGGTCCCAAGATTCTTTTCTATTTTCGAATAACTTGGTTTTTCCTAATACCAGGAAACCCACGTTAAAATTAGTTTCAAAATTCATATCTAAAATGGAAAGTTTGTAAAGGCGAATTTCGAGAAGAAAGAAAATTTTCGAAAATGGTCTCCGTACTCTACTTAAGTACAGCCAAAAATTTGGTAGAATCAATTGCACGATATTTTATCTATTTATTCATAGAGCTTCTCTTCTGGATATCTATGTAGTCATTTGTGCTTATTTGACTTATAAAAAGAAATTTTAGTTACTGTATTTATTAGAAAATATTAGTCGTTCTCTTTATTATAGATAACTTTTTAGTCACAGCTGACGGATGCAAAACATCTTTTATGTAACGCAAGTATGATTTACGCGTCTTTTCGCGACGGTCTCCGGAAGCTAAAATTGCTCTTATTGATGTTATGCTCGAAATATTTCTAGCATCGATCTATGTTCGTTGTCGAAAAGCGACTGCCTCCTTCCTCTTCCAGCCCTATCGCCGAATTTTTCTGAGCGTTTGGTAGGAGGAATGAGGAAGGAATCTATGATATTATTGATCGCCCCTCCGCAAGGACCGCTCGACAATTGGTCACGGAAAAGGCCCAAAAAGGGAAATCCATACAAATACGGCCGAGACGGAAGCGCGATAAGACCCGTGCAGTCCGGGGGCCATAAAACAATAATCTGGGCCTGACGCTCGGACGACCGTCTTCGTCCTGCCTAAGCTGAACACAATAGCTATTGTATCGCCCGAAAACTATAGCTATTAACAAGGGGTCCTATGCGGGATAAATATATTGGATGTTTACAGGTTGGACGTCGGTAATACCCGATGTGCACGTGCTAAGGGTGGAAAATTCCGTTTTAACTTAGGGAGGTTATTACAGAAATGATTTCCTGCTCGAGGGACTCAGCGAATTGGGAAGATGGGCGTAACAATTGTGACGGGCAACAAAGTAGAAACAAACAAAAGGGAGATAGTGGGGGCAGTACAGAATAGAGTCTCGAAACGTCCTAGGACGGAAACGTGCTCGTATTCGTCCTGCGAATTGGCGTCCGCATGGAACAGGACTAACATTAACCGTTACTGTTAGTTGTTACGGGGATATAGAACCGTCGAACGCGGACGAAGACGATCGCGAAAAGACGCGTAAACCATGCTTGCGTTACATGAAACATCGTGTATACCATGGAAACAAAGTAGGTTTTTTACGTCCCACGTGCTTGCGACCCAGACGGCATAAAATATTCATAGAATATAGAAAAGAAGTAGGAAAACATTCCTCATGTATATGGGACATTAGAATGATATTTTAACGCATTCGCGACCGCAGACGTGAATTCACGTCATTTTTAATTCTACTCCTGATTGCCGCTGACGTGAATCACGTCCATGACGATACACGATACAAGTTTGTGGCAACCAGTTTCAGAATTTCATTATTTTCGCCGGTACTCAGTATTTGAAACGGAAAAAATTTGCCGGTCGCAAATGTGTTAACATAAGAAGTAGCCTTCAGAAATTAGAAAATATTCCTTTGAGTTTCACACGGAAATGTATCTGTTATAAATTCTGTTATCGTTAGTGATATGTGTACTTGCTACTTGGAATTTGATCTTTGAATTAAAAAAGAAAAAGATTACTATGACGTATATGTAATCATATTGTAAAAATATGTAAATAAACCCCACGGGGCCGAAGAAGCAGTAAAGAGACCAGTACAATACAAATATATAAAAATGTAATAGATTTATATTTGCATCACGTACGTATACATACACTTATGTGTAAAATGTTGGTAATTTGGAAACTGAAAAGTGTACATTAAAAAAATTCATATGATAATATTAAAGTTACTGCGAATCAATTTTTTACATAAATCTACATTTTTAAATGAACAACAATCACCACGGTGAACATAAACATTAAATACTAATTACGAATTGTGTCGAATGTTTTGTCATTTGAGCAAATATAAACATTTCACTAACTTTTTCCTTGTTCTTATCTGACTTTTTCTGAGTGTGGCCACGCGATAAATGCGCCGATACAGTCCATACTCGGAAGCGTAATCAAATAATCCGTTCACGGCACATTCTTTTTTTTAACTTTGAATTAATTCTAAACCGTTTGTTTTAAATCAATTTATTTATACATGAGAAATTATCTCATTAATGGTTACTCCTTTGTTTTACAAATGGAATGCTAAGAAATTGCGGTAAGATCGATAGAATGCAAGGTGACATATTGTAGCAAGTGGATACAAGAACAAAACAGTTAAGCATTTTATGATTAATAAACATGTCCAATTGCTTGTTAGAGTTGGGATTACAAGGACATTAATGAGATTTTCCTCGCTTCAGATGGTAACTAGGAAAATGAAAAATAATATTTCATATTAAATTTGATCAATTATATGTGATACTCTTAGTTTATACAGGGTTGATTTAGTTTAAATAAAGTTATTTAGTTTATTTTGTTTAATATTAACGTTTCAAAGTCTCGTACAATAAGGTGCGTCAATTTGTAAAAATAGAGAAAAAATGTAATACCAGGAAGGTTATCGGATGATAAGATAGTTAAAAGTGTAGGAGGTGAAATTACCGAAGGCGAATCTACTATTGACAAGTCCATATTTTCCGTAGATTCACAGGTATAGTTGTTTGACTTCTTGTTAAAGAAGACGTATATGGAATGGATTCAAGCGTTCCGTTCTGCGATCCTCGACCAAGTGCCGTCCCGTCCCCTGTTCGCAGGGATTGTCTTGGTCTAGCCGTATCAATTGTTTAGGCCATGCTCATATTTTCTAAACATGCTCGCCTTTCCTCGCCCATGATTCTGGGAATAGGTCCGCCCATGGACCTCCGATCATTTTGCCTTGCCTCTTTGAAATATTTCCTTCACGTGGTAAACGGAATAGTAATTGTCCTTGGAATACTAATTATTATTTCTTACACATAATATTACATTTTATTTCGGAATTTTTTACCGATGAATCTGGTTATAGCATATGGCTGGTCTGGAGCGAAGTGTCAATTTTCTTCATTAATTAGTAAATGTCAGTATTTATAATATCGCAAGGCTTAATCGTAGGAGGATCCCGTTAATCACGTTCGCACATAATCCTTATTTGAACACCGTCATCAGTTCCAGTTACCGTTTTAATCTCCCATATCTTTGTGATTCACAGTAATGACGCATAGAGATAAATCCGATGTATATTTAGCGGCAATGTCTTGCAAAATTGCGATATGCATTTCACCGCGGGACAATTTATATTGAATATTGCAATTAATATTTGGAATTTTAAATAAGATTTTAGATTAATATTTAAAAGAATAACTTCATTAAGCCTGTGACGTCTTACATTACTTTGAATCTTTCATCATGCAGGTAAATTGATTTTTTATTACTGGAGCCTTCACTGTAATCTATCCACCCGAAAGAACATAAATATGAATTTTAAGTGTAAGCAATACGTTTCTAATGGGAAAATATTCAATCATTTATCCTTATATTTTCAAACAGATATACATGTACACGGTCATAAATGTTAAATACCACATTATAATTTTGTTACTCGTGTAATGGCTCACCAAAAAGCCTTTAGTTTACATTACATATTAATTAAAATATCTCTCTAATCTTTAATTGTCCATGCATGTTTTGTAGTCTTAGAAAAATATTTAGTTGAATCGATAAAATTTGTGTTAATTCAACCATAGAAAATAGTTGTTATATGGGCAATCAAGTTCTTGCTTGACATGACAAAACTCTTTGGTTAATAACTTTTCCTTGATTACATGAAATATTGAGGTAGATCGCCCCAAATGTTAAAGTAATTTTATGTATTTAACCAAAATATTTTAGTTGATTGATACAAACGAGTTATAAAGAAAACGGTGTGTGATTTATTTACAGGATAAATACGAAACATTACATTTTTAATAGAATCCTCCCGTTTACTAATAACAATGGTACTTAAATGTCCTTATCATCAAACAATAGAAGTAGTGGGTGATGTAATTTCCCAAAAGAAGGTGTATTATCAGTTTAGCTTGAGTTCATTATTTTAACAACTTATTTTATTGATTTGAAGAAGTACACCTTTTAATTAATAAAGAATTAAACGACTAAGCTTCTATTGTTACAGGTAACAAGTGCTGCCAATGGCTTGCAAATTCTTGTTCAAGGAATCCGCAAGCTCAAAACCAACACGAATGATATAATACAAGACCTACAACGTTACCAAAATACTTTGGTTAGAGAACTTGAAAGGAAGGTACATGACCGGAAATTCCAATCAATATCGGAAATAAACACCATCACAAACTCAGCTCTTAAAGACATTGAGGTGAGATTCCTTTTAATTTAATCAATTCTCTGGCTATTCGATTGTACTCATTCAGCACTGATATTAGAATATTCGAAAGCACGAGTAAAAGGGATACTTGAAGGAGGTCAATCATTTATGTACTTTTCTCCAAACTGGGTGTACCGGATCATTTGAAACTGTACCACGTAAATATGGAGGTACCTAAGAAGGCCCCGACACTCATAAAATTTCATTTCTTTTATATACAAATTTAAACAATGTCCATAAAAAATTAAATTTCTCGCATGTCTAGATGTTATGAAAGACGTTGAGAAATTTAATCGACGTCGATTAATTAAACTTCACGTATACCTTTTTTGATGGTAATGCCATTCCAAATACTTAATGCGAAGTGAAACCCTCTTCAAATCAGTCGATTCGAATACAACACTTTTTTTTTTAAGGGTATTGGACCAAACTGTCCGAAACTTTGACACCTGACTCGTAGTCATCTGATAATTGTCCTGACACATTCAAAATTTGGATTTTTGGAAAAAATTTTTTAACTTAACCCAGACCAGAACCAAAATGGCGTCGAATTCTCATATTTCGATCAATATACGATTATCGAAGGCTTTGATATGAGAAACGGTAGGGTCAGGACAATTTTACGACAATTTAGAACACTCTGGTAATCGATAAACTCGCATTTGAACGGGATAAAGGCAAAAAAAGTGTTGTATACGCTTCTATGCTAAAACGATGAGAATACGAGGTCTCGGAGTGAAAATTGAATTGATCTGGAAATCACAGATGGCGTAGGGTATCCCTCTGCAGTCAATTAGGACTCCAGAAAGCATGAATTCAGAGGATTTCTGGAGTTTTACGTCGATTTCTTTATATTTATTGTACGAAAACGACAGGTGGAGTATGCCATTTGGTACACGTTGAGAATTATACGAAATCAAGCGTTCGATGTGTCATTTGAAGAAAGCAATGATGACGAGATCGACGTAGAACTGTCGAAATCCCGTGAATTCATGACTTTTTAATTCTAACGGACCAACGGTGCCATCTGTGACATTTAGCTGCAACTAAATTTTTGCTCTAAAGACACGTGTTAACTACGAGACAAACCAGCATTCTCTTGCAATTGCTGAAAGTATTTTCCATATTTTCCTATTTGACTATGTAATATTTCATTTGTACGATATTATAAATTGTTCGAGCTAGGTCCTGAAACTCTTCATTTTCGATTCTAAGCCTCCAAGAAGCGTGAAACATCGAAAACGTGCACGGACCACGCCATATTGGTTCTAGTCCGTGACAAATCGATAAATTTGTTATGAAATATGTAATTTCATAAGTTTCAGGACCTACTTTAGGGCCTCCATATTCACGTGGTAAAATTTGAAACGAATCGATACACTCAATTCGGAGAATACTTTCACGAACGATTTGACTTCTCGGATATATATAAGCTAACTGTGTCATATCATCTCCTCTCCTAAGACCTCCGTATACACGTGGTAAAATTTCAAACGATTCGATACATCCAATTCTGAAAATGTTTCATAAACAAGACCCTTCTGATGCTACTTTCGTATCATCTTAATTCCTTGCAATTTACAGGCTGCTGTGGCAAAGGCCAAAGGAGAAGGCAAAGATGCAAGTTCTTGTGAAACAAGTGCCAAATCCAGCCTCAGGGAGCTCAGTTTGGCTGCTTTTAAAAATTGGGACGAGAAATCGAAAAGCAGCGTCGCTACTCTCGACCCGGTTCTGAAAAACATCGAATCCGTCATCTCGGTAAGTATAACATTAAATATAAATACAAGGGTAGAAAGTAAAGAATGTAGGACGGATATCTTCACGACTTCAATGACTTTACAATACTTAACCGTACTCGTATTTGACTTGTATACAATGCTAAACACAATACCATTTTAGACGTTATGTTGAAATGCTGAGCAAATATTAAGTAAATATTGATTTTTTGTCAATTTGAGGGCCGCGACTGTCTCATATTTCCCTAGTACCATGGACACTAGTGGTCTTCCATTTCAGAACCACGATTTTGCTATTAACACAGCAATGCCCCATGTATTCAAGGGATAGGAAAATAACACACACTGCACACTTAGATCCGATCTTTATCGGTATGCTGTACCGATGGAATTTAAGGCAAACACATTTTCCCTCTTTTCATCCTGTGAAATACAATTCGATTCGCTCTGGCCCGATGACGGTTCTTTTTATCACCCGGTAGCTCGGCCATGAACACGTGAAAATACTCGATAACGCAGCTTTGCTGTTAATACATTCGGGACCGCTGACGTGAATTCACGTCATTTTTAATTCTATTCCTGATCGCCCCTGACGTGAATCACGTCCATGGCGATACACGATACAAGTTTGCGGCAACCAGTTTCAGAATTTCATTATTTTCGCCGGTACTCGGTATTTGAAACGGAAAAAATAAGTCAGTCGTGAATGTGTTAAGCATCGGTCCCATCAACATTACGAGAAGTGCGGATTTTATCCGCATCCTCTACCAAATATATTTCGTTGTTATTCTCGAAAACATCGAATTCGATATTTGTTCGAACAACACTCGACTCATTATTGCATGATAATGAACAACTAAAAGAGCGCAATCGCTAACACAACTGTAATGATCGGACAAACAAACGGATAATAGCGTTATAGTAAAAAGTGGAAAAAATGAAAATGTTCCATTCAGCCAACAAAACGAGTAACTCCGTCTTTGCAAATTTCACTTCTTCGTTAACAACGGCTTTTTTTGTGAATGAATGAACAATTGTTTAATTATTCTTTATGAGTTACGAATCAAATTTATAGATACCAACAGCACAGCAAATGTGCTTATGGATAATTTTCTTATGAGCAAAGGAGCAATATCTAAGAGTGAAAAATACCCTTCCCGCTTTGTTCATAACGAAACGTTTTCTTTCAGGCTGCCAAGAACTCCCTCATCTACTTGGACTCCATCGTCCCCGGATGCATCTCGTCCAACACCTGGGCCACTCAAAGTTGCGTTGCCGGTAAACTGCCAGCCGCACATCAAACACTGAAAAGTCTCCAAAGTTCTTCCGACTTGGTGAAGCGTACCGGAACTTCTCTCTCCAACGACGCCTACCAAGACGTCTTCAGATACAGTCTCCAGTCAACGTCGGATTTCCGCACAAACACAGTAAACATTCGTTTGGGGGTCAATAGATGCATCGAAACAGCCTAGAAAACTCAATCAGTTTTTTATACAATTGTTAAAATAAACAAGACCATAGCCACTGCAGCGACAGACTGCCGTAAATATGGTACCTCTGCATGGTGTTATAAATTAATAATACCCTTCCGTGAACTACGCTGTGACCAATTTTAGAACCTTTATAAATGTAAAATAACGCACATGCAAAATAAAACAAAAGGACTGAAGATGCTTTTATTTACATTTTAGTTAACTTTATTAAAAAGACATACACTAACGTTAACTTCGTACGTAACGCTGTTTCGAAGGATTTGGTATAAAAGTTCTAACTTCATGTATAACACTTGTATCTTATTAGTCTTTTGATTTGTCGTCTTTCCTTATGAAAAAATTCAAACTGTTTCCTTCGGTTCAACGTTTAGTTTGATATGTAATTTACTAATGGTAAGTAATTCAGTTCTACTGTTCAGTGCTACAGTTCGGTACTGGAAAAATGATTAAATAATAATATCCCATTAAGTGAAACCTGTAAAAGTGTGCGTGTGGCATTTAACGAGTCTATATTAATGATTACTGATTCCTTACGGTATCTATTAATCAGCGGGAAGCATCCCAACAGAATAGCTGACGATCATTTTTGCAGTTGTTAACTTATGGTCGCTGAACATAGTCCTTTAGTTTAGTGGATAGTAAAGATTTTTCTAAATGAATCCAATTGAAAGGATGCCATCCGAGGACATCGAATTTACAACTCAAGGTCTTTTAACCCAATGACAGAGGCAAGTAAGTATTTTTGTTTTAAATATTTACACTTTGCAGAAATATCTATATTTCTGGTTATGATATTCTTAAATTTTTCCTTTTTAAACTATTGGTGATAGCAATTATTTAATTATTCCGAGCGAGTTTTCACTTGGAAATTTATGCTGTACTTATAGGGATTTGACAGAATACGTGGACGCAATAGATAAACTTAAAACTTTCAACACCTCAGAAGAGCTTGTATTCAAGTGTGTCGTTAGTAACGGCTCAAAGTCAAGGATACTTAGCTGGCAACTAAGTACGAATCACTGAGTACAATTTAGAAAGTAATCCACTTCCTCCTAAAATATGAAATAGTTGAGAAAAATGTGTGAATTAAATTATTCATTTTATTCGGACAAGTTAACTGACAAGTTATCTTACTTTTCCAGATCGTTGAAATCATGAGAGGCACGATGAGGAACTTCCATCCACGATTCAGGAATTCAAAGGAAAACGTGAGCAGTTTGGAAATTCACATTCAATCATCCATCAGTGACCCTGTAACAATGAACATTGGTAATAGCTTGGTGTAATATTGGTTCAATTTTTATATCTTAATATAGAATTATCGACTAATAACCAATCGTCTCAAAACACACCTTTGATGTACAAAAATTTAGCCAAATACATTTATCTTTATTCAATTAATTGCAAAAATAGCTCAAATTCCTCCCTTCTCATGAAAAGCTCAAATCAATTATTTTTGCCAAATGTAGTAAAACATTCATTCCATTAAAATCCCAGCTAAAATCTTTTTGCCAAATGTTACGGTATATTTGGTTTCACGTATGTTGCATGTACAAGAGTTTCTGCTTTCTCAAACCAAAAACAAATATTAAAACCTATATCGAAACAAATAAAAAAATTATAAACTCAATTTGAAAACAATATTTTATTTGGCGAGCACCCAAGGTATACTCTATACGATTGCAGACGTTTGACATTTTTAGGTTATTTGTACATATAAGTACTTAATCGCTGGAGTTTCTTCTTCTTCTTCTTCCGATTATTTGGCCTTGAGTTGGTTCCCTTTTAAGCCAGGGTTTTGCAGTGTTGTTAGCTGCAGAGATGAGCAAGAGAAATTCACGACAGAAACCTAAATACTAGCTTTGTGAAGGTCTTAAAATACATTTTATTCTCTTAAAAATAAGCAGCCAATATAAAACATTATAGATTTCTTTAGTATCTGTCAAAGATATTTGGTCACGTTTTTCTCGCTCGAGTGTAGTCTGAAAGATTTCGTGGGTGTCATTTTTATACACTCGATGGCCAATCTGCTTAACGTAGTTTCTAACCATCTTTTCCCGATTCGCCCCGACCAATACAATGTATTCAATTATACATTACAAAATGTATTCAACTATAAATTACTTGGCGTGACAAAAATCTAATGAATATATCTTGCTTAAATGCAGACTCGAGAAAATCTCATGAAAACAATAGTTCACCGTCTCTCCCCGTCAATCCAGACAGAAGGATATACAAAAAATGAGAGGGACAACGTGGCGAAAAAAATGGATGACTGTCCATTCGAAAGAATGGAAGGCCATCATAGTTGCCCTCTTCTTAAGGGGCCGCGTCGGCATATAGCCTCTTCGACACTTGTAGTCTCTTCGGGCAGAGCCCCCTACGTCTCGAACGCTTGGCAATCCCCTGATTTTTCGAATTTGAACAAAAAAAATACTCCGCGAACAGATTCAAAAGCTAGCAAAACGACGACCTGCGATCCGAGGATGCGCAGTCCGTGCGTATTGCACAATTATCCGAATTCCCAAGCGCGGTCTAATTAATTTGCATCCCTGAAAGAAACTTATCGCGATCGTGGGCGTCCGGGAGTACACTGAGCGAATAATTCACTCTCCAGACTAAAATGAATGACTCGCGGCAATCTAGACGTTTCTTGCCAAAGAAATTTCTCGGCTCCAGTAAAATTCTTTTTTTTTGTAAAGTTATTTTTTTTTCTCCCAGCGTAGAACCCCGGACGCAGGACGGAGGACATCTTCCGCGCTTCCGGAAACGCGAACGATGTAAAACTATAGTATATATAAATACCCAGGCTCGGGATCTCTCCCCAAACCCCAAGGAAGAGATCCCGCCCTGACCCTGCCTACTTACATCTAGACATTCTCTCCAGGCAATTAGCTTACCTCCCTAGCTATATTTAAAAAATCAACCTCACTCATTCCAACACACTCACTCCACGATTCTCTCTCATTCCACCCGGGGACAAATAGCCTAATCTAGGGAGGACATCCCGGGATGCCTCCGACCCCCGAGTTCAAATCTCTCACATACATCTTTCATCGATTGCCATCGTTAATCGAATTTAAACAAATTAAATGGATAGGTGCAATTGGAATCAAGATGGCAACCGAAAGAACTTACACAATTATTTTACCGCGCCCTCTGGCCCTTAACCGTTTGGCTCTGGCTGCGATTTCTTTCGGAGGAGTTACAGGGTTTTGGAGTTTTTGTGAGGAGTTCATCATTTTTTCAGCTTGATGGGGAAGGTTGTTCTGCTTCAATTGATCTCTCGAGCTAGTGGCTGCGATTTTTTTCGGAAGAGATACAGGGTTTTGGAGTTTTTGTGAGGAGTTCTTCACTTTTTCAGCCGGTTCTCCAGCTGCCCAGAGTTGTAACAGGTGGCAAGTGCATTAGCCGTCTGCATCCTCCACCGGAGGTCGAACAGGGCGCGGTCGCTCGATCCTTCCCGTGAATCTCTCAACTCATCTTTGATTTGGCAGAGATGAGTTGGGAGATTGCCATTATGGTAAGCCACCACCGTCAACTGCCGCATGGCATTACCATCACGAATACGTGAGCCGCTAACGGCAACTGGTAGATGGCACAGCCATTGCGATTGCGCGAGCCCCTACCAGAAATTCGTTGCGCCGCCCTTGGGGGCAAAAAACGGTGAAAACTAACGTACGAAACCAGAGGGCAGCACACGATGCGATCGCGCGCCCTGCCCGTGAGCAATCTCCCAACTCATCTCTGCATATATCGTGCATTTGCGACATCCGCCATATTGGAAACGTAAAATTCTAACCAATTTTGAAAGCAAGCCCAAATCGATTTGTTATTCCATACAAATATTTACGTGTTTACATATTTGCTGAAAGATGTCTATGACCTAGCGGATGCCGTATATCGTACATCTACGGCATCCTTCATATTGGAAGCGTAATTTATTGTTTTTCTACGATTTTCTAGGGTAAATTACGGGTTTACGTCATATACGTCAAAAACCTCGAAAAACGCAAAATTGCCTAACCCTCGTCGAGTCCCAATTATTCGGTATGTAGTTCATATATACGTAGCGCAGTATTGCAGTATATGTATGTATGTACATTACGACTAATGAAATTCGGACACGGTATAGATTCTTCGATTATGATTCCTGATAATTTTTAATTGATATTGTGAGCAAAAAAGATAATTTTTTTAATATTACAGAGGTTACTTTTAAATCCTATGATTTGCCGTTTTTTTGTCTGAAACTGTCATTAGACTGCATAAGATATCAAGTATAATATGATTTGTTTATAAGGCTCTTTGCCGAAAGATGACGTTTTTACCATTTTTACAGTTGGAATGAAGCGTGATAAAAATTTCCTGATTAAAGTTGAATGGTATTCGGTGCATAACACCGTTAAGGATCGATTGATCAATGGATCTTTAGTGTGCGATTTTAGTGCTTCTAATCGGATCTTAAAAAGAACAAAGATGTTGAACCATGTATTGAAAGAATGTCCTCGTTTGAAAAAGTATCAGCAGTACAAAGACATTATATCACAGCTGCGTAAGCATGTTTCAGACAATAGCGAAACCGATGACAGACATGTTCCATGTGCCGACTTTGGTAACAAAATTAATGGAAGTTTTGACAATTCTGTTCACAAGATTGATTTTGATAATAATGTTTCATGCAATAATGCCAATGTTTCTTATCAGAATGATGATCAAAGCATGATACAGGATAATCGTGAGAAATTGAGATTTCAATGTAATTCAAAACCCGAAACAACATCACATGAGATATGCCAGGCAAAAGTGCATAAGCAAAGGTATAAATTCTTACAAACAAGTAGAGATACAACTTCATATTTACCTGTATCTGTTCATACAATTGATGCTGAAAATAGTGATTGGAATAAAAATGAGATTCTTCCCTTTCAAAGCACCAAAAACGATCCAAAAATGTTTAAGCAGACGAAAAAAGGTATGAGGACTATGAATCATTCTTATGAGAAGATATCTGTTGAGAAGGACAAGTTAAATAAGCAAATGCCATTAGGAAGCATTTCTGATTTAATTGAGAACAATCAAAGGAAAATAACATTCTATTTTAATAAAAAACCTTGCTCCGACTACTGTCATGACAGATTACTGTCAAAAACCCATGCTAATTCAGTAGAGAAAAAACAAAGGAAAATAACATTCTATTTTAAGAAAAAGCTCTACACTGAATGTCATGATAATAAGATAGAAGAAAGAACTCTGGGACAAAAATCAGAGTTGAATTTTGCAAGCAAAGGATGCAATGTATCCAATAAGAATTTATCTCATGAAATACCCTGCAAAGAATTGAACAAAAATAATGAAGTGGCTAAAGTGAATATTACTAGCATTGAAGTGAATTCAAATCAATTTTTGGAAAAGCAAAAACATAACATAAGAGAATTAAATGAGATAAATGAAATGGGAGAAACATTTCAACAAAATATACAGAACAATGACACAATGACAAAATACAAAGAAGAAAATAAACGTGTTTCTACAGACTTATGTGACTATAATTTACATAGTTTATATAGAGAGCAAAGCCTATCCACTTTGTTCAGTGAAATATCTACCGCCGAGAGTACACGAGTATGTGAGAGTAATTCTAGTATTATTAAATCAATTTGTAAAGATGTGCAAGAATTGATGCTGCAGAATTATATGCCTGGTCTAGGAAATTCAGGAATTAAAGATAATTCTGAAAACCATCATTCAAATGATTATAGAAGAAACATAGAGAAAACTCCTTTAACTGTAAATATGTGCAAAAATAAGACCATACAAAACACATCACATCGATTGAACACTGGAAATTTAGATTCAGTTTTCACATATGGCTGCTGTAATGCACCAATGCAAATATGTGGAAAACATTCTGGAGTGATTAATGGAAAAATGTTAAGAGAAAATGGGAATCATCAAATTATTCAGAGAGATCAATCATTACATGAAAGTATTAATATGATTCCTAATATGAAGATCGAAGAAAATCATTTGGCAAAAATACAAGACAATATTGAAGTGCCAATCCAGCAACACAAGACTAACAACAAAGCGAGTCCTTTACATATAACACCATTTAATGAAGGTCCAATTATGGGGCACAATTCAAATAATGTGCAACTGAAAAAGATACTTCCAAAAATTATTAATAAAGATATTATTTTAACAAATTCGAAAATAGTGCCATTTGATCAACAGAATAATAATGAGATTCGTCCAGTTTTGCATAAATGTAATACGTTGCATACTAAATTTATGAATCAGAAGGGCGTCATTAATAAAAACAGCAAAAAAGGCGACAATGTTATAATGACTTCAACTGCTCAAGAAATAAAAAAGTTAAACAGATATAATTTATCTTTGGGATGTGACATGAGATTCAGTAATGATGAAATATATTTAAGTAAGAAAAATGATAAGAAAATAGTAGGGAGCAATATTGATGCTTCAACGACCACTGATGATTATAGAGCAATTACAGAAATTCAGCCAGGCGAATATTTGGAGAAAGGTAAATTAAGTAAACCCCAAGAATCTGCTAGAGCCATCAGCAGTGGTGAAAAACAAGTAACTGACAAAAAAGAATACTCTTTTAATAAATTGAACAAAAATGATGTATCTGATGCAATGTTTATGATCAGACATCATTCTAATAATAATGATAACAAAACTGATGGGACATTTGATCATGGGAGGAAATTAAAGAAGCGGAAGAAAAAAGAGGAAGTACTTCAATTTGTCTTAGGATGTCAAGACGAAAACGAAATACAAGGTTCTGAACAGGGTGTAATAAAAAAACAAAAAGAGAATTCTTTGTACCTAAACACTGAAGTAAAGAAGAAATCTCTTGAAAAGAAGAATAAGTCCATGAGACACTGTGTTAATAATGATGATGTTAATAAAACTGACGAGATATGTAATAATGAGAGAAGATTGAAGAAACGCAAGAGAAAAGAAGAAACATTTCAAAATGTCTTAGGATGTGAAGAAGAAACATACCAAGATTCAGGACATGCAGTTGCGATGAAACAAACTGGGAACTATCTGTGTGAAAACATTGAAGGGGAGAAGAAATCTGAAAAGGAAAGTAAGTACTTTGGACATAGTTCAAGTAATGACGATATTCAAAATATTGACGAAACATTTTGTAATGAAAGAAAATTGAAGAAACTAAAGTTGATAGGAGAAGTGTTTCAAAATATCTTAGGATGTGAAGAAGAAAAAGAGTTACAAGATCTGAGACATACAGTTGTGCAGAAACAAACGGAAAACTTGTTGTATCTGAAAACTGACAAGAAGAAGAAGCCACATGAAATGGAAAAGAAGAACTTCGGACACTGTTGGAATAACAATGATAATAGCATGACCGATGAGACTGTAAGTAATGAAAGAAATTTAAAGAAACGGAAAAGGGAAAAAGAAGTGTTTCAAAAGGTCTTAGAATTTGAAGCAGAAAAAAAATTTAAAAATTCTGAAAATGAGGTTATAGAGAAGGAAAAACCAAACCTTCTGCATTTACAAACTGAACTAAATAAGAAACATCCCAAAAAGGGAAATAAGAATCTCAGACATTGTATTAATACTAATGATACTGAAAAAGCTGGTGGAATATGTAATGATGAAAGAAAAGGAAAGAGGAAGGAACGGAAGAGTAAAGAAGTATTTCAATATAGTTTAGAGAGTAAACCAGAACATAAATTAGAAAATTCTGGAAATGGAGTTATGGAAGAAGAAAAGGAGAAACATTTGCATCTATCGACTGAAGTAAAACAGAAACCCCTTGAAAAAGAAAATAAACATTCAAGATACTATTCTAATAATAATGATTTTCAAAAAACTGATGAGACATGTGATAATGAAAGGAAATTGAAGAAACGGAAGAAAAAAGAAGTGTTTCAAAATGTTTTAGGATGTAAACCAGGAAAAGAATTAAAAAATTCTGTAAATGCAACAATGGAGGAACAAAATGAAAAATCGCTCCTACAGAACACTGACGGGAAGAGAAGAACTTTTGAAAAGGAATCTAAGGACAACAGCCAATGTGTTAATAATAATGATACTCAACAAAATGAAGTCGTTTTTAATAATGCCAGGGAATTAAAGAAGCAGGACAGAAAAGAAGTGCTCCAAAATCTTTTTGCTTGCAAACAAGAAAAAAAATCAAAGGAGTTTGAGAATGCAGTTTTAGACAATGAAAACGAAAACTGTCTGCTTCTAAAAACTGAAGTAAAGAAGAAATGTCGGGAAGGAAAGGAAAACAGGGATGCCAGACATTGGTCTGATAATTATATTCAAAAAATTGATGAGACGATTATTAATGTAAGAAAATTAAATAAACGGAAGCTGAGGAATGAAGAAGTATTTCAAAATGTCTTAGGATGTGAAGAAAGAAAAGAATTACAAGGTTCTGGAAATGCATTTATGGAGAAACAAATAGAAAACTCTCTATATCTAAACACCGAAAGGAAGAAAAAATCACTTGAAAAAGGAAACAAGTACTTTGGGCAACATTCTATTAATAACACATTCATAATCAATGAGAACAAATCTCTGATATTCACCCCGCAATCTTCCCATGCGAGAAATAGTAAAAGTTTGAATTCAACAAAAGAAACGAACGTTACATTTGGAAATAACGAGGAATCTCTAAGCATTTCTGATAGGACAGAAATAGCTGAAACTTTACGTCCTCGCAATGTACGTTAACAGAATTTTGTAAGATATCAAAATATTGAGTGACTTTCTAATTTAATACATTTTTACAATTATTGCAGATCCAAGAGCTAATCGTTAGTGAGTCCTTAATACACACGAATGCAGAGCCCTCATTAACATTAAATGATATTTCTGATGATGAAGACGTTTGGCTTTTTGAAATACCTAAAACGGTTAGTCGATTTTATATAAATATTTTATTTCAAAGCAGCACAGGCTAGTATGTTATTTGTTTAAATTTTCTGTTTTCCGTAGTAAAAAGTATTAATGTCCTTTAGAGTACAATTTACATTTATGTTGAAAACTGGTGTTCAGGATGATTTAAACATAGTATTCTTCTAATGCTTGTAACCTTGAACAGTCAGGTAAAGCTTCTAGTTTGTAGAATACGACTACCCTACTAATACTTCTAAGGTGTGTCTCAAGTAAACACAACCAGCGGTTTGTATGTTTAAATATATTACTCTGAAATGTTCTATTATCAGGTCAAGCTCTTCAGATCTTTTTTTTTTCTTTGAGTCTGCTCCAGATGCTGCTTGTTTTTCTGCAGGATTGATTGAATGGAGATATATGTTATACCCTACAAGAACACTTCCGTATAAAAAAACCTTGCCAAGTGGTCATTGCGACATCGTCGTTGCGAATCCCCATTTTGAAAAATACGAGTATTTAGACCTACATTGTGCTTCTGCCTACAAATATACAGAAATCAAAGCACAATGCCAAGTACATACGTCTAGAAGTATCTGCTTCTTATATAATCTGGCATTAGTTTATCATTCTTTTTTCATTTAGGAACTTTAATGTCTTCACTAGTTTTATGTTATTACTGCAAATTACATTTAAGTTTAATGATCATCATTTTTTATTATGTACAATGTTAAGTGATTTCTTATCGAGTACTACTTGGCGGGTCCATATTTTACAAAAACAAAATTATTTTTATATGTTTAACATTTGACACTGAATAGGGGCCTCGTGACTGAAATCGTTGTAAATGGATAGCATGTCGATAAATTAATTGTGCAGAACATGTGCAACTATACATGCTGTAAGGCTGTGCTAGGATTTTGTGGAGTAATAACATGGAATCAACTTCATAAACGTCTCGGTCTGCTCAATGTATTGTGACATTTTTTGCGCGGACCCGCCAAGTAGTACTCGATAAGAAATCACTTAACATTGTACATAGTAAAAAATGACAATCATTAAACTTAAATGTAATTTGCAGTAATAACATAAAACTAGTGGGCATTAAAGTTCCTAAATGAAAAAAGAATAATAAACTAATGCCGTATTATATAAGAAGTAGATACTTCCAGACGTATGTACTTGACTTTGTGCTTTGATTTCCGTATTTTTTGTAGGTAGAAGCACAATGTAGATGTAAATACTCGTATTTTTCAAAATGGGGATTCGTAACGACCATCTGGCCATTACCACTTGGGGGAGGTTTTTTTTACAGGGATGGATTTTTGTAGGGTATTTTACAAGTTGTTGTTTTCCTATAAAATGTATAATTTTTTATACATCATTGATAGGGCTAGTTGACGTCCAAAGTTGATATAGTGATCCACTCGTGATTAGTTCCAATGTTACGCTCTCAATTAAAAACATTTGTGTGCTGAAAATGGTAAAAACAATATGTTTTTAATACTTCATTAAAAAAATGTCATATAATGGGGTAGATGATCAAATTTAAGCTGTCACTTTTCGGGGTAGATATCACTTGAATTAAGAGAATCCCCTTTCTAAATTTTTACCAAACTGTTATCTGTGGAATTGTTATAAAATGTTGAACTGAATACTCCTACTATACGTACTTAAAAGTTTAATTCGAATCAGAAATAGATTGTCGATTGTTCGCCCGTGCAAAGCGATGACAACTTTTTCGCAAACGGTTCGTACGATTTTGACGTACGGAGTGCTGCCCCGTCAGTTTGCTCTTACGAATCTGCACATTGAACGACATCGAATTCGGGCCATGCGTTCGCGAAAAATGTCGATCTCGCCCGTGCAAAGCGATGACAACTTTTTCGCGAACGGCTCGTACGAGTTTGACGTGCAGAGTGCTGCACCGTCAGTTTGCTCTTACGAATCTGCATATTGAACGACATCGAATTCGGGCCATGCGTTCGCGAGAAACGTTGATCTCGCCCGTGCAAAGCGATGACTACTTTTTAAAGTAAAACACTCACATTCCCATTCGTAACGAACCCCACGGTTCTGCCGTGCCGAGAAGGGCGTAAGGTCCTCGCGGAGCTGAGTGGCCGGTCGGCTACGCCCGGGTGGCGCTGATCTAGGAGCCTGGTCTTCGTGCCCGTACTGCCGGATCCCGGAAGCCCGCGGCGCGTTCGCGCGCGCCTGGCGCCCCGACAAATAAATCGGGCTCACCGGAAGGGCCAAATATCGGGCTCGACCCCTTTCTCTACCAAGCTCCGCGCTCGCGCGCTGCTAGAGGTGCATCTATCTTATGGCGCATGCCTTGACGATGCAGTCCGCCTCTATCAGTGGACCCTTCTTGACTATTGATCCCCTAAGGCAGAAATCGAAATGCGGCAGTGGGCGGATCGCGCCCTCCGCGAGGGAGAAGGCGGTCGGCAGGCCCCCGCGCCCGCCCCTCAAGTGCAACGTAGCGCACTTGAGGGGGTTGAAGCGGAGGCCCAACGACCGCGCCTCTCCCTCCATACTTGCTAGGAAGGATCTCATCCCCTCCAGAGTTTCTGCCAACAACGCAATATCGTCAGCACAAGGCAGGGTGGTCACCACAGATTGCCCGAACAGGCCATAACCCAGCCCGGAGCTGTGTGCTTTACGGAGAACGGAGTCGACGGTCAAAAGAGGAGAGACCGTAAACCTAATATTTCTACTATACTGCATAATTTATCGCCACTTATTACTTTACAAATATATACGCATTTGTTTATTCAGATATTTGCCCTCAGGGGGTTTCCCCCCGCGGGTAATACATCAGATTTGTACATATTAAAATGTGTTGTTCAGGATAAAACGCAGCCACAGCCACGTCAATTAAATTTATTGCGAAATATGTTGTCGATTTATTTCTATTTTATCGCGCGAAAAAAAAAATGTGTTGCTCTTATACTTTTCCGTAAAACGGTGCCCATGCCAACGTTACATAAACGTAGCACTGCCACGTTATAAAAATAATATTTAAGTAAATGTTCATCGTTGAATTATATACAAGAATTTATTGCTAATTAATTGGTCTTAGAAAAACACAATTTTGAATACTTTGTATAACTCTCAATGTAGTATACCATCATGTATGACAATTGTCGTAGCGTGGCGAAACAAAATTAACAAAATAGAATGATTCCTTCACGTGCGAATTAATGCAAATTAATTGCTCTTAGAAAAACCCAATTTCGAATTTTTGCACAACTACTAAGGTATACTACCTTAGTATGCCAACCCTTAGAACATTCATATATAAATGCTTTCCGTTAATTTTGTTTAATGAACTCAATAGCATATGAAAAATTGATAATTTCAGTTGTGCATTTTAATAATGATGTATTGTTTCCATTCATCCATAGATTCATCATCAAAAATTCAAAGGAAGGAAAATTATAATCAAGGAAAACAATCTGGTGAAAATTGGAGAAGAAAAATATAATGCTTTATGCATAGACGTTAGGAAAGCCTCTTGTGTTGTTAATAGTGGCACGCATAAAAACCAGTACAAAACAGGTAAGAAAACAAATTTCAGATATTTTTATGAGCGGTGCGTAGCGTAGGTCTCTCGTGGTGGATGATGATAATTCAAAAAATTCAAAAAACTTAATTGGTTATTAATCTATAGACCTGTGGCTATAATTGGTACTAGAATGAAGTAAAAAATTTGAAAATTACAAAATTGAGCCAGTTTTTAAAATTAATTTGAAACTCGTATTTTTTTCGATGAATTTAGCTTGAGCAAACAAAACCGGGGGCCCACAATCCGGTACCGGCCCGGGCGACGAAGCGCGCGCTCGCGCTCAAAGGGACCATGCGCGCGGCGAAGCGCACGGAAAAAAACGGTGGCTTTAGACAGCCAAAAATCCAAAACGCAAAAATCCAAAACGCGACTATATATTCGATTGGCCTAGCCCGGGCATATGGGCGGGGCTACGGCTCCAAGTCGGCCAGCTGTGTGGTCGCACCCTAAACCAAGGGGAGGTGGCTGTCCTTCTGACGGCCCCTGAATTGATACCCGGTTCGCCGGAGCGTTGGCCGGCGTTTTCCGGCCCTGTCCCGCTTGGTCGGCCGGCTTGTCGCCCTTCGGGGCGGTGGCCTGGCTCCTGGGGGGGGATATAGCCGCCTAACTGCCCCCCATGAGAAAACTGAAGGTGATATATCTTCGATTATAAGGTTGGGCTCGACTACGGGACAAGAATAGCAATCAAATTAAAGACAACGCGAAAATTAAGAATGGCACGCAAGTATCTACGCGAAACTAAATTAAATTGGAAAACCTCAGACGACTAAATTCACAAAGAACATATTTAAACGGTGAACAGACGCCAGCAAAATATATTGACGGTTTCCGCAAGTAAGGCAGCGATAACACAAAAAATATAAGAAAAAAAAGCGCAAGAAAAGGCAGCAATTTCAAAATATCAGCACTAACACTTGACGCGAAATACAAAAAATTTCGGATATATTAAATTTTCATAAATTACATTTGCTCTGAAGTAATTAGGATCCAACTAAATCTTATCGGATCACAAAGCTAAGATATCAAAATAGTCGAAAATCCGGACATATAATCACTTATCGATTTATAAATGGAACAGTGAAATCGAAGGCAGGCACGGTTACATAAGAAATTTCCAGCTCGAAAAGAGGGGATTACGGGGGGGTTCGCTTTTCGCGAAGATGGAATTTAATTCAACGGGAGTTTGCACTTCGCGAAAACATATTTTAATTCAATAAGGTTCGCATTTCGCGAAACAAGGGAAATTGACTGAAAATTCGCACTTCGCGAAAAATGACATACTTTAATTATGATTAGCACCTCGCGAAGAGGGTAATTATTTAACCAAACTCGCACATCGCGATAACGGAATTTAAGTTCGCACTTCACGAAAACAAAAGGAAATTAACTGAAGTTCGCACTTCGCGAAACATAAAGGAAATTAACGTGTCGACCGCTCAAGACAACATTCTCGAGTTCGGGTCGACACGGCTTCTTGATCCGACCGAGGAGAGAGGCAGCAAAGAGATATTTTACTTCAAAAAGGCCGCTCACACGAGACTTTGGCCAAAAAATATAAAAGGGGCCGCTCACACGAGACTTTGGCCGCGATAATATACTGAGGCCTCTCACACGAGACTTGACCGTCAATATCGGAAAATGGTCGCTCACACGATACTTTGGCCGCAAAAATATAAAAGGGGCTGCTCACACGAGACTTTGGCCGCAAAAATATAAAAGGGGCTGCTCACACGAGACTTTGGCCGATTAGACGCGGAAGGGCCGACCACGTGGCGCGCGTCTCGACGACGGGTTACCCGGGGAAAACGCGAAACCGGAAATCTATCAAAAAAATCTACACAATCTAATCAATTTATTGCACGCTCAAACCTCGAGCTCGGCGAGTACGACAGCTCCCTCGATGGACGTCCACCGTAGGCAGCAATGCTCCCCGGTATCGACGGTGTGGTGTCGAGATAGCGGTGCAGGGGAACGGCGAGAAGGCAGCGGACACGTCTTCTTCGCTCGACGCTCGTAGACCAAGAAGACCGGGTCCTCGCCGTCGTCCTCTGGGAAGGCTCGACGGCTCCTCGTCGGAGGCTCGTAGTTCTCGTTGATTGGCCGTCGTCGGCTGCCAAATTGCGTCGGCCAATTCACAGCGGTCGCGTTTGAAATTTTGAGGATTTTGGGTGATGACAGCCGCGGCGCAGGTTCGCGCGCCGGATTTGAAGTGGATTCCGCGGTCCAATCGGGGCGCGTGGCCATCGCGTGACATCATCTGCAGGCCAGGGACGTAGCTCCTCGGGGACTCGGTGGCGCCGGTCCTGGGCTCCCTTGAGCCAAGATTCCTCGCGATTTTACTCGGGGGTGCTGACATCCCTTGATGCAACGGCTCCCGGGTGAGGGGACCAGTGGGCCCTTCCGCCCTGGGGTCACCGCGGCCTGGCCTCGGCGTAGGAGGGCGACGCAATTGGGACCCCCCCTCACCGCCCTTTTATGGACTCCTTTGAGTCAAAGGTTACGGCGGGGGGTCCACGGTCACCGGTAATGCGCCCTCCTCCCGCCATCAGTGAGGGGCCGGAAATCCGGGTGCAGACGCGGTGACCCAGCGACGCCGCTATGGGTCGACCCTTGCCCTCAAGCACAGGGTCGCTGGTGGCTCGGTTCGGCCCTATTCCGCGCGGCCCCGGCACCCATGGGCGGCGGCGGGGCGAGGCCTCTCTGCCACCGTTGTCGTCCGCTACTGTGGTCCTTCGAGGGCCCTTGTCCCGCGCCGGATGTTGACTTCTTGCTCGCACTCGCCTCACCGCGAGGATGTCCTATCGTCTAAGCTATACACATCCACCCTCCCGGCAACCCCAACGTCAAAGGGGCCCGAAGGCCCATGACGGGCCGGGAAAAACCCGAATGCTCCGGACCGATCGACAAACCCTGGGGAGGCGCTTGCCGGGACAGGGCCTCCGCGACGCACTCCCCGAAGGGAGGCCGCTTGACCCCACCCGTTGCCCGCGGGGAACCTCGTGGAGGTCCCTCCCCTGCACCCGCGTGGTGCGAGCATCCGTGCAAGGCGCCAGCTGAGACGTAATGCTCCAGCGTGGTTTGACGAGCTTTCCAGGCTAGGTCGGGTGGGAACCCGATCCATCGGCCGAGTTGACCCGGCAAATATAGGATCGGTTATCCCACCTATCGGCCTGTACTAGCGTCGCCGGCCTTCTTATTACGGCCGGTAGGGCCGGCCCCCAACCCGCACCCGGATAAACCGAGGACACGGGACGGGTTACCCGGAGCACCTCCAGCCCTCCGGTCGAGAAGTATTCCCATGATGAGGGCCACCTTTCGCCGGTAACTCTAGGGGGAACAAGAGTGCGGTCAAACTCCGCAGAGCGAGCATCTCTCATGGTTCCCCAGTAGCCATTTGCCGTTTCGTTACGGATCCATAGGGATCCGCATCCAGCCCCACCACGAGGAGGTTTACGGATGGCTCTTGGTCGCGTGGGAGCTGCCCCTCCCCCACGTCGTTGCCTTTTGGAGGCCGGATGAAATGATACAATTAAAATTGTATACCACTGCCTTCAGAAAGGATTTTAATGCATTGCAGTATGGAGGTTTCAACATTTGGAGCCCTGGGGCGATCGCCCACCGGGTGAATCGTCACAGCATATAACACCCAATGCACTGTTACGTATACCCCGCCCGAGGGATACAAAGGGGTCACAAAAGGGCCCTATGTCCCCAATATTCTCAACCTCCGCCCTAGCTCACACCACCCCTGAGCACGAACAAGCAGATTGATATACCGGTTGGGCGTCAGGCGTCCTAGGAGGCCAAATCCTAAGGGCCCTTCGACCTCCCTTCCCTAAAGGCTTGGACTCTCCCCGCGAGAGCGAAGCCGGAAGGCGAGGCCGAAGGTTTATCTTCGGTTTCTCCGAGGCCCGTCCTCGGAGAAGACTCCCTGAGAAAATCAAATAAGCTCCCAATGAAATGGTTAATAACAATTCGATTTATTCACTCGAGATACTGATCGAATCCAAACGAAATAGACAAAAAGAATTTTAACATCGGGCCAAATGGCTGATACCCGACAATTATTCGGAGAGTAACGAATATTCAAAAACGTTTTTTCCAATTATTGTCAAGAAAGGGAGAATTCAACAAATTGCCAAAAGGCGGAAACCCGACATTAATTCGGAACAACAAGAACGCGATACGAACGCGTTGCCAAAATTTAAAGGTATTGGGAGAAATTGTCGGTCAGGAACACTGACTTCAAAGTAAGGATAAAGGGTACAGGGATTGCAAACGCAAGGGATTAAGGTGAAGTGAAACCCCCTTCAAATCAGTCGATTCGAATACAACATTTTTTTTAAGGGTATTGGACCAAACTGTCCGAAACGTTGTCACATGACTCGTGATCATCTAAGAATTGTCCTAACACATTCAAAATTTGGATTTTTGGAACAAACTTTTTGATTTAGCCCAGACCAGAACCAAAATGGCTTCGAACTCTCATATTTCGATCAATATATAATTTATCGAAATAATCGAAGGCTCCGATATGAAAAACGAAAAGGTCAGGACAATTTTACGACAATATAGAACACTGGTAATCGATAAACTCGCATTTGAACGGGATAAAGGCAATAAAAGGGTTTTATGCGCTTCTACGCTAAAACGATGGAAATACGAGGTCTCGGAGTGAAAATTTAATTGACCTGGAAATCACAGATGGCGCAGGGTGTCCCTCTGCAGTCAATTAGGGCCCCAGAAAGCACGAATCCAGAGGATTTCTGCAGTTTTACTTCGATTTCTTTATATTTATTGTACGAAAACGACAGGTGGAGTATGCCATCTGGTACAATATCCAATATAATTCGACCCAGCTGTCAATATAAAAACGAACGCCGGCAATGTAGGTATTTAGAAAAATTTTCTTTATTAACATCGATCAAGTTCCTCGGCGTGTTTCACTTTACCTTAGGGGCTATAATACACTTGCCGATAGAAGTTAAACAAGCGTCAAAAGCAATCGCGTCGTCGAGGGCGTGCAAGATAATTATAATATAATTTGGTTGCCTGTGAATTATAACCGGTTCGCTAGACAGAAATACTTAACTAATATAAGGGAAAACAAGGCGCGATCGGAAAAGTGTATATCGGTAATTTTCTTTCGCCGGGAACGACGGGGGATCGTAGGATCGCGGATCTATCCCGAGTCTATCTTCCGATTGTGTGATAACCGACCTGTTCGGTCTCCCTAAGGATGTACGGTGGCTGTCGATACCTAAATCCGATCAGTTTCCTACACCGAGACAGAATTCTAACAGTCGGGAAGTCCCGAGGACGCGTACTTTCCGAACGGTGGTCAAACGTCTTCCAAGCTCAATCGACGCTGTTTTCGGGTGTTTATATACTGTGATAAGAGCGTCGCTCGCAGGTGGGGTCGACGGACTTTCGCATAAGGCGTCGCCGTGCGCGGTCAAACGCCGATTGTTGCCCTGTCGATTTTGCAGAATTGCATCTTTGAATCGGCAGCTCTGTCTGAGGTTAGTGAACTGGTGAATTTATAAGGTTTTTGAAAAATAGGGCCTACTTCCGTAACAGTGTCAATATTAAAATTGGTATTGAAAAGAAAGTGAATTAATTGTATATGATGCAAAGGAAACGGCACTTCTGCCGAGTTATACCTATAAAAATGCCGTAAATGTTATCGATGTTTGTTAACTCCTTGCCCTACGATTTAAGTTCCAACAGCGTGGGCCCGAATCGATGTTTGTATTTAGCCCGACCGATGTACCACTGGCCAGGCTCGTGATAATCAGTTTTGGCCCGAATACCTGACCACGAGTCTCACATGTGGTTGTAGGGCAAAGGGTTAACCTGATCTGACAAGCAATAACCTAAAAATAGGAGTGTTTAATCTGGAATTGTCCTTGATGTTTGTTAACCTGAAAATTCATTCATTTCATCCATCGTCGAGATATAGTGGAAACGACACCTGCGCCCATGGCCGGAGTCCGACAGAGCGCGGCGCATCAACGCGTCGTTCATAAACAATCACTTTCGCCACTGTTATTGACTGCTTTTTCACCACGACGCGTTGACGCGCTGAAATCTATTTGACAACCAACGCATTTGGCGGACTCCTGCCTTACGTATTACAGCAGTTTACCACAGCGCTGCGTGCGGCCACTGAATGAAACTGTAGAGGAATGCGATTGCGACGAAAGGAATACGGGCAGAAGACGATGATGAATACGTCAAGTGAGCAAAACGTGATCTTGAATATTTTCAGACTAGCGTAGCGTATAGCGGATGCTGTGGAAAAGTCCGAAAAAATTACAGGGTCTTTAAAACGAAAAGTACTTTCATTGTGCCAAATATAGGTCCATGATAAGTTCTCTTAATTGAGAAATAAATATTTATCGAATTGGTGCCGAATTTTTGCGTTAAGTTTTCGGTGCCGTTCGTGCAGACCTTCAAATGTTTTTGGCGCGAATTTCTACCGAGTTTTCCGATACCATGATTTTATATAATACGTTTATTTATTTTCAGTTAACATCAAGCCAGTCGGCTCAATCTTGATTAGAAAGAAACCTATAAAATGACCGACTTTTATGACGATATCAGCCATCATAGCATCATTCCAAAGAGATTTATAATTCCTGAAGAACTGGACAGCTAAACATGTATCGTAGCATCCTGGAAACCCAAATAATTAGTTGAAAGTTATGTCTTTAAGAAACAGACCGAATTTTGATGAGTTATAGACAAGAATCAGTGGTGCGAAAAGAAATAAAAGAAATAAAACGTTCACTAACGATAAAATAGAAGTTAACCCTTAGCGCTCCGTTGGCTCCGCTACGGAGACATTCGTCATAACATTACGAAACTTGCGGAGCGCTAAGGGTTAAATAACTTTCCATGATATCTATAAAAGAAGAAGCAATGTCAAATAAAACCAATTGTTTATAGTTACAAGTTGGAATAATACCATTATGTTTACAATGATATACGAATTTTTATGTACATTTTGTATAAAAATATCTTCTTTACATATGTAACAAGTTGTAATAATTGTCTTTCGTTTTGTTGAATGTATAATAAATTCTACCATTCCTTTTTCTTTCAAATACAGTACATTTATCCTAGTCATTTATTTTTAATAAACTGCTTCAAATATATATTATTAAGTATAAGAACAACATTTAAACAGAACTGGTAGTCACGATTTATTCAGCGCTATCCTTGTCGAAAAAGGAACCGAAAAGTCCTGTAGTATTTTTTCCTATAGTGCATAAATTTCCTGCAATAACTACTTGAAGCGTAGCCAATCAATCGCGTTCCCCAACGGAAGGTATAGCGGCGAGGACGCTGGTAAGGCTACTACGCCGCAGGCAGCCGAACGCAGCCCTAGACTAGACAGCTCTTACCTAACTAAGTTCGAGAGGGGATTAGGTAGCATCGTCACAAAAGGGGTTTGATCCCGCCGTGATCAGATACGGTTCACTTCACCTGTCCTGAGCTCGGACCGCATCTCACACTGCTCTCGGAGTTTTGGACGCCAGGCATCCTTGGGTGCCAAGGAAATTTTCCTTCGGCTCGAGCCCGGACGGACAGGGATGGACGGCCAGGAGTCAGGAAAAATCCCCTGCGTTATACGGAGAAGGGGTGGGTAAGGTCGATTACCAAACGTAAAGAAATGTCTATTTAGTCGAATTTCGTGGTAACAGGAAGTTTATTGGCGGACGGTTACTCCCGCGAAAATAAAATAAAAAATGAATGCAAACGCCGCTTTGACGCCTTATGCCCGATTTTTTTTTCACCTACGGATAAGTTCCCGACAAAGTTATCATGAAGATATCTGGGAGAGATCTTTCAATTCGGTTTTCTTCACTTCCAGTTAAGAGTTATCCGCCGGATAAAGCTATCCGGTAGTTCGAGTAGGAGATATTTGGCCGATACCTCCTCCAGTGCCCTCAGTGGGAGCCCTTGGAAATGTTTTGTATAACCCGTAGATCAGGAACGGATATAATCTAGCAAATTGTTAGCGTCGTACATGTCATTTATGCTCCAAATACTCAAAAGTACAGAAGAATATACAATTAATAATGGATTTATTAATGTTTAATATTGATATTTTTTCGGATGACGACGTTGATGATTTATTACTGGAAGAAATCGAACGAAGACTGTACGTTTTACGAAACAGGCCACTACATTTTGAAATTTGGGATGACGCCGATTTCTACTCACGATTTCGCTTGAAAAAGCCGAAATATTAACGTTACTTCAAAGCATTGAAGAACACTTATTACTATTGTAGAATAAGTAAGTATATTACGTTAACAGAATTTCTCGGCGTATGTTTCATTTTATTAAACTATTTTTAAATTATTTTGCCTGCCTGCTTACATCTAGACATTCACTCAAAACAACTGAGCTACCTCCCTAGCTATATCTAAAAGAAAAAACACATTCGTTCCAACACACTCACTCCACGGTTCTCTCTCATTCCACCCGGGTGCAAAAAGCCTAATCCTAGAGAGAGCATCCCGGGATGCCTCCGACACCTGAGTTCAATTTCCACATACAAACGCATTATCGATTGCCATCGCAGTTTAGATTTAAACAAATTAAGCGAATACACTCAATGGATAGCAGATGGCAATCGAAGTTTATAAATTTTACCGCGCCTTCTGACCCCGACCCGTTCGACTCGCTCCTGGAGGAGTCGAAGAGCGAGGGCCAGCAAAAGACGCGGCTAGAGAAAGATGCACCTACCGTCGCTGACGCTGAAAACATCCTAACTTTATTAATTTCAACAACGCTAAAGCGAGCTATCGACTCTACTCGACTTTTTTAATTCAGAATTTCAACAAGAGAAAAAGGCCAAGCTCAGCTCGCAGTACGGCCCCAGGGTAGTGGAAGGCTTGGCCGAAAAAACCTGCAAATCCTGAAACCAACCCCCTCGTCGAGGCGGCGACTCTAGGACGCAGGCATATCGAAGTGCCCCCTCGACTCGGGTGTGGCTCCTCGCGAGATATTTCTCCCATTTCTTTTTAACATTTTTTATTTAATCATTCGAAGAAATTCCGCGGAACCGGCGGCCTCGAAGTCGGAGGGTCATCCGACTTCCCGGCGCTCGATTAAGAATCGCGATCGGAAAATTACCGCGGATCCGGGAGAAATCTATTCCTATTCTAAAAGAACACATGAAAAACATAGAAAATCAACACGACCACTCGCAAGTCGGCGAGAGATCGTCTCGTCGACTCGCGGTCCATCGAATCAACATGTAAACATACAACCGACCTCCGTGCCGGTACGGACCTTTCGTCCTGCGGCATGAGGAGGCCGGAGGAAGGAAACATTGAGACTTACTAACGGGACGATACGTCTTTTTCTGGCGGTACTCCCCCAGGAGATCCCTCCGCAGAGACCTGGGGTTTCTGGCCTCCTCTCCATCTACCTCCCTTCGACGTTGGCTCTGGCTGCATTCCACCTTTGTGTCCGCTTCCACTGCTTTTGCTGCTTTCGCTGCAATCGTTGGATACGCTGGATACGCTGGATACGCTGCATGCTTCTACTGCCTTCGTTGACTTCCTTTTCTTTCACTGAACGATATTTTATCCATGACACTCGCGGACCGTGATCACTGTCACATCCTAATCTCATTGTCTTCGCGTCGGTTCGGAAACTGCGCGTACACCCCACCTCGTCATCTACGAAGCCTCCCTTGCACTTCGTTACGATCTTTGAATGCCGTCGATTGAGATTTATTACACCACGTTGATATAAATTTCGACCGTAGTACGCAATACGTCCTTCGCGCCCCCCGCAATATTCTTAATTTTTGACGACGTCCTATTGCGGCGAATTTTCAGGAGCAACTGGCGATCCGCCGGTCGGGCCGCAATCCCCGGCCGTGACCGACTCCGTGATTGGACGACGTCACCGGCCCAATCATGGTCCATTATCGGGCCGGTGATATACATCCCGACGGCGTTCTCGCTTGCCGTCGTTCAGCCTCGAGCCTTATCGCCCCTTCCTTCCGCGGCTCGCAAGGCGGATTATCATTTTGCAGCGACCGCGATCAAGTAATTAACAGAGGGAATGGAGGATCAATTCCTCCACGAGAAATGTCGTCTCGAATTAACTGTGCCGTCTAGTCGTAATGTTAACCCTCCGTTGTCCATGCCTTTTTCGGACACGTAATTTTATGACTTGTATTTGTATTTAAAATGCAAGTAAACAATTTAATCTCAGCTATTTTTGCCAATGTGGCTATTTTGAGTTACGCGTGATGTTTAAACTTTTTCGAGAGTTGATTCAGTTGATAGAACAAGTATCATTCTGATCGACTCTTTTCTAATATTCTCATTTCTCTGGAACTATTTAATTTCAAACGCAAATAAATTCAAAATCTATTTAAAATTGGAAATCCATAATAGTTTAATGTTCTTATTTCAAATACGAAATGGAAATGGGGTTTTACGTTTTGGATACGTATTTCGAATGAAATCAATTCATAAGAGTTACTCCGATTTGCGTTTATAAAAAATTCGGATAAGAAAAGTCTTTCTTATGTTTATGGGTGCTCATTTACATGCTCATTTAATGATTTACAGGTATTCATTTATTCGAGGAATACGAAGAATGGTGTGGAACGTAAATATATAACAGACATGAAATCACGATTTCGTTTCTATGTCCGATAGTTGATGTATCGTAAATTTTCCTACGTTATTTCACTGTATATATATTTAGAAACTATTTCTTTTAAGCTAAGATAATATTCTAACTTCGGTTCAGTGGATGGAACAATTGAGTCGCTAAGAAACTTGTTAACATTTAATAGAACATATTCTATTATATTCTTTATAAAATTCTGTAAATTATCATTTAACAAAAACTACGTTAGGTAGGTCAAGGACGCTCCACAATAATACTAAAATAATTTTCATTAATGTACGACGCGTCAACGCATCGAGGATGAAAAACCAATCAGAATTTTGTTTAGGAAATCCATTCTGCCCCTTGAGCGATTCGAATTCCGCGCTGCTCCCGCCGCTAGTACGCTCCGCGGCCGGAGAGGGCAGTGCGGACAGGAGGAAACCATCGACGGAGTCCACTGTATTGTTTCATCCACGGTGTAAAAGGGATGAATTAGCCGGCTGTGTGTCGTTATATTAAATGTTCATTATGAATGAAAAAAGTAAGAATGTGGAAGTCCCTAATTCTAATTTATTTTTGTCATCTTTGGTAGTAAGTAACATTTTATTCGTTTTACTAGTTTTGTTTACTATTTAAGGTTTGGGCTGAAGTCCATAGATAATAGATTGTTCCAAAGAAATGTATTAATAATTGTTTATTTTCTATTTTGTTTGTTGCGTTTTGTGCTTATGGCGTATATAATTGTTTATGTTTAATGCTCTATTTTTAATTGTACTTTAAGAATCGTTACATTTAATGTAAAGAGTAAAATGATCTTAAATAGAAGTATTAGCGTTATAATGTAACTGACACGAAAAAGTAGTTGTAAAACATTTGAATTTGTTTTATAGAACAACAATTAGAGCATTAAGAAATGTTATCATCTTTTAATGGGGTACCTGACATTCATACATTGAATTAAATTTCAAGCAGGAAAATAATGTTCGTATCATTTTAAATTATGTAATGTTAAACATCAGTAACACTTTTTAGTAACATTTGAGTCTAATAGCATTCTCACATCAAATCTTACAGAATGAGTAATATTGTATTTCTGATATATTGAAGTTAGATGGTATTTTTCTTTTTTTTGGATAGTGTGTGGATATATGAATAATTAAAGATTGTTATTAAATTATAGCCGATGTAAATATAGTCCCGAATTTTAAGATGATTCGAAGTTAACGTTTGAGGGATTAAATCGACCATTAAAGATTTCTTCATTGAAACGAATGCGTTTCAATGAAGCATTTGAAACAAATCAGTACACCCAATGTGTACTGATTTGTTTCACATTTTATCACATGGATTAGGGGGCCCTGTTGTTGGTCCTGATATTCACGTAGTTTCATCTTTTTATAAATAAAAAATTATCATGGATTAAAGCTAATATAATGCAGTGTATGCATATTTTTGA